GTAGTTGGGACTGCAGGTGCATGCCACCATATCCAGCTTAGTATTATTTTTTGAGATCGAGTCTCGCTCTGTTGCTCAGCCTGCAGTGCAGTGGCACAATCTCGGCTCACTGCAACCTCTACCATCTTGTTTCAAGTGATTCTTCTGCCTCAGCCTCCTGAGTAGCTGGAACTACAGGTGTGTGCCACCACGCCTGGCTAATTTTTAGTAGAGATGGGGTTTTGCCATGTTGCCCAGGCTGGTCTCAAACTCCTGGCCTCCAGTGATCTGCCTGATCTCCTTGACCTCCCAAAATGCTGGGATTATAGGCATGAGCCACTGCACCCAGCCTTATTATTTTTTATAAAGACGGGGTCTTGCTGTGTTGCCCAGGCTGGTCTCAAACATCTGGAGTTAACTGATTGTCCCACCTCAGCCTCCCAAAGTGCTGAGATTACAGGTGTAAACCACCATGCTCATCCCTTTTTTATTTTTCTTTATTTTGAGAAGGAGTCTCACTGTGGCACCCAGGCTGGAGTGCAGTGACATGATCGTGTCTCACTGCAACCTTTGCCTCCCAGGTTCAAGAGATTCTCCTGTCTCACCCTCCCCAGGAGCTGGGATTACAGGCATGCACTACCACGCCCGGCTGATTTTTGTATTTTTAGTAGAGATGGTGTTTCACCATGTTGGTCAGGCTGGTCTTTAACTCCTGACCTCAGGTGATCCATCTGCTTTGGCCTCCCAAAGTGCTGGGATTACAGATGTGAGCCACCATGCCCGGCCTCATTTATTTTCAATCACTCACACATCTATCCATGAGTGTAAATTTTGCTTTTCAGCCTTTGAACAATAAGACTCTAGCATTCTATGGAGTGCCACACAATTGCCATTGGAGGCAATGCTGAAGTGGAAATGGGGGCTGGAGCGTCCAGGAGTCGCCTCTCCACACAGTGTGTGACAGACACAGCCACCTGCATGCTTGTCCTTGGTGGGAGAAAAAGCCTTTGAGAACTGAACCTCTGCCAAGCTCTCTGCTAAGATCGTGCGATACAGCAGGAAACACAGCTGGTTCCTGCTGTCAGGAGCTCGTAAGAAAGTTTGTGGAAAAGCAATCAGTTTCATCCACACACACGCTTGCACGTGGAAAAGAGCCTATCTTGGGTTTGTGGCTACAAAAGTCAAATGCTGTTTCTGGGAATTATTGGTCAGGACGTTTCAGATAAAATGGAAAATAGGGCCAGGTGTGATGGCTCATGCCTGCAATCCCAGCACTTTAGGAGGCCAAGGTGGGCAGATCACTTGAGGCCAGGAATTTGAGACAGCCTGGGTAACATACAAGACCCCCACCTCTAAAAAAACAATTTTTTTTAAAGATTAGCCAAGGGTGGTGGCGCAGGCCACTTGGAGGGGGCTGACACAAGAGGATAGCTTGAATCCAGGAATTTAAGGCTGCATTGACCCACGACCATACCACTGCACTGCAGTCTGGGTGACAGAGTAAGACTCTGTTGAGAGAAAAAAGGAAAGGAAAGGGGAAAAGAAGGAGAAGGAAAAAAGAAAAGAACATTTTGGAAGGCTGAGGCGGGTAGATCACTTGAAGTCAGGAGCTTGAGACCAGCCTGGCCAACATGGTGAAACCTTGTCTCTACTTAAAAAGTTAGCTGGGGGTGGTAGAGGGCACCTGTACTCCCAGCTGCTCGGGAGGTTGAGGCAGGAGAATTGTTTGAACTTGGAAATTAGAGTTGCAGTGAGCCAAGATTGTGCCACTGCACTCCAGCCTGGGGGCGAAGTGGAGAGAGGGGAGAAGGGGGAGGGAGGGGGAGGGGGAGAAGGGGGAGGGAGGGGGAGGGGGAGAAGGGGGAGGGAGGGGGAGGGAAAGGGGAGGAGGGGAAAGGGAGGAGAAAGGGGGAGGGGGAAAGAGGGAGGGGGGAGGGGAGGAAAGGGGGAAGGGGAGAAGAGGGAAAATAAAGGAAGAAAGGAAAGGAAGAAAAGGAAGGGAAGAAAAGGAAAGGAAGCTCATTAGCTCATGTGAAGGGAACTGATTTCCATGACACAGATGTTGGCCCTTAGGTTTCAGCATGATCAGCAGCTGCGGGTGGGTTGGCGGTCAGTGGGATAAGGAACAGGTGGGCTGCATCACGATCAGCCGCTTGGGAGGGGAAGTTGTATCCCTAGATGAAGGGATACAACTAGGTCTCAAAAAACTCCTATCAGGCCTAAAAACGGAATGCAAATTAGCAACCATACAAAGCAAACAGACAACACCAGGAGATGCCAGACCTCAAGGCAGGGTCCCCTAAATTGCATCCCTCCTAAGGGACTGGGCTGTGGGACAACGGCCAGGCAGGCCAGGCCACACCTGCAGGGTGAGGCTCAGATGGAGCAAAGCCTACACCACTCTCAGCGTCGTGGCTCTGGGGGCACAAGGGGTCACATCCTCCCAGGTGTGACGGCAGCATGGATGATGATTTGGGGGGCGCCTCCACCCACTCACTCTTCTCCATGGTGCAGAGAGAACCTGGCCCAGCTTCTCACGGAGACCGACAGGACTGGGAGGAACAGACGAGGACCTGAAAGGCCTGCAGGGTTCCTGCTGGGCAGGGCTCTGAGCACAGAGCTGGCATTGTTAGTTTGCTGAGGTCTGATGGCTACACAGTCAACCGTATCCACGTGAGTATGTGGTTTCTATGCGTTTTGACATAGATACGTACACCTGTGAAACTGTCACCACAAGGAAGATGGGCAAATCCATTGCCCCCATATTAGTCTGTTTTCACGTCGCTATAAAGAAATTCCCAAGACTGGGTAATTTGTAAAGGAAGGAGACTTAATTGACTCACAGTTCTGCATGGCTGAGGAGGCCACAGGAAACTCACAATCACAGCAGAAGGCGAAGGAGAAGCAGACCCCTACTTTGCAAGAGGAGGCACGAGGAACCGCCACTTATAAAACCATCAAATCTCGTGAGACCTCCCTATCAGGAGAACAGCATATAGGAAGCCACTCCCATTATTCAATCACCTCCCACCCAGGCCCTCCCCTGACACGTGGGGATTACAATAAGATGAGATTTGGGTGGAGACACAGCCAAACCATATTACCCTAGAGGCTCCTCGCCCATCTCCATCCCCAGGCAACCTCGGATCTGCTGTAAGCATAGATTTGAGTTTGTTTGAGACAAAGTCTCACTCTATTGCCCAGGCTGGAGCACAGTAGTGCAATCACGGCTCACTGCAGCCTCAATCTCCTGGGCTCAAGTGGTCTCCCCACCGCGGGCCCTCTAGTAGGAATTACAGGAGCACACCACTATAAATCAAATTAATTATTATGATTTTTTGAGACAAGAGTCTTGCTCTGTTGCCCAGTCTGGATCTTGGCTCATTGCAATCTCTGCCTCCCATGTTCAAGCGGTTTTCCTACCTCAGCCTCCTGAGCAGCTGGGATTACAGGCATGCACAACGATGCCTGGCTAATTTTTTTGTACTTTTAGTAGAGATGGGGTATCACCATGTTGTTCAGGCTGGCCTTGAATCCCTGATCTCAATCCACCCACCTCAGCCTTCCAAAGTGCTGGGATTACAGATGTGAACCATTGCGCCTGGCCTGAGATTTTGCATTTTCTAGGATTTCATCAAAGATATAATTATATGCAGTGGCTTTTTTCTTCCCCCTCCGGATGTTTGAAACCCATTCATGCTGCAGGTGTATTTCTTTCCTTTTTTTTTCTGAGACGGAGCCTCGCTCTGTCACCCAGGCTGGAGTGCAGTGGCATGATCTCAGCTCACTGCAACCTCCACCTCCCTGGTTCAAGAAATTCTTCTGCCTCCGCCTCCCAAGTAGCTAGGACTACTGGCATGTGCCACCACGCCTGGCTAATTTTTGTATTTTTAGTAGAGACAGGGTTTCACCATACTAGCCAGGCTGGTCTTGAACTCCTGACCTCATGATCTGCTTGCCTCAGCCTCTCAAAGTGCTGGGATTACAGGTGTGAGCCACCATGCCCGGCCAATTCTTTCCTTTACGTTGCTGATTAACCTTCCCTCATAAGGCTACATCGTGGTGTTTATGCATTCACCTTTTGATATTTCGATTGTTTCTGAAACTCAGCAATTACAAATCAACTTGCCATGAGCATTCGTGGACAAGTGTTTGGGAGCTGTGTGCTTTCATGCCTCTTGGGTAAGCACCTAGGTCATGGAATGGCTGGGTCATACAGGTGTGGGTTTAACATTTTATGAAACCACCAGGGCTGGTATTTTTGAAGTCATTGAGACAGAAAGTAACAATGTCAGCTCCAATGTGTGCTGTTACTGAGGCTGGGCCAGGAGGCTCAGTGTGGCAGGCAATGCTGGGTCGGGGAGCAGAACTAGACATGCTTGCTGAACCCAAGCCAGCACACTCCTCCGAGATCTCCAGGTAAGAGCCCAGTGCCCCACCATTGGGAAGGTTGGGGACCAGCAAATGGGACACCCACGGGCTGAAGCATCTAGAGGTGACAGAGTCAGGGGCTGAATGTTCAGACAGGGCTGCAGGTCACACTGATGTACCAGTTGCACAGACTGGCTGCAAGTGACAGGTCAGGGACCAGGTGCATGGATGGAGCTGCAGGTGACAATCACAGACCAGATGCACAGGCAGAGCTGCAGGTGACAGTCAGGGACTGAGGACAGACCCACTGCAGGTGACAGACTAGGTGCACAGCTGAAGCTGCACCTGACAGCCAGGGACCTGGTAGACAAATAGGACTGCGGGTGAAATTGACCGAGTACACATATGCAGCTTCAGGTGACATGGGCAGACTGAGTGCACAGAGGGGTCTGGGGACATCAGCATCAGGGACTGGGGGACACAGCTGCTTTGTCAGGAGACAGTGACAGTGCCTAAATAGGAACACTGGGCCCAGAGAGCTCAACCAGTGCATGTGCCTCCTGACGATAGGGCCAAGCCTGGAGCTGGGAGGAACTCAGGACAGCCTGATCTACCAAGCATGGGCCCATCCCAAAAAGAAACAGCACCACTAGCTAAGAAAGAACTTTATTATTTCTAATAAATGGTGCTGGGGGTGGAGACCCTGGCAGGGCACAGGGCCATCCCCTGCCAATGCATTGATGCCCACCCTCCTTGGAAGTGAACAGGGGAAGCCCCATGTCCCCCGGAGCCTGTCGCCTTGGCCTGCAGCCCTGGACGCCTCTCACGGAGCCGCAGGTCTTCCTCCCTGGCTTGGGGGTCGCACGGCCACCACAGCTCCATTACTACAGGCAGAGCCCGGGGCCAGGTATGAGACTGCCCGCAGCTCTCTGTCTCCGCCAGCCTGGACTCCTGGGGAAGGGGACAAAGGGGGGCTTCCTGGTGCTGGCTTGAAAGGGTGGCGCTCTCTAGGCAGGCGGTCCCCTGGCCCTCTGTGCTGTGGCCGTGCCTGGGGGGTCATCGAGGTCCAGGGGGGCAGAGGAGACGCCGTCCCTGTCCTGCAGCAGTGCCCTCGGGGTTCCAAGTGTGTGGCCGGCCTCGAAGCCAAGGGGCCCAGCAGGCCCACCCCATGTTCTCCACCCTCTGACCCTCGGGGCCCAAGCACTCACCCTCCCACCCCCGTTTGGTCCCCTGTCCTTATCCAGGTCCCTGTGCTGGGTCTGCAGTGCTTTGTCTTTCTGTCTCCGTCTCCTCCTTTCTCTGGGTCCCTGATTTCTTCTCTTCCTGTCTGTCCCCGCCCCCACCCCCCAGCATGGGGCAGTTGAAACCTTGGAGCAGGTTCTGAAAGCCTTCCTGGGTGTTAGCATCCAGGAGCGGAGCGGCCTTGAGGGTGGGGACCGGGGCGGAAGGGAGCAGTAGCAGCAGCAGCAACAGCGGAGGCCACATGGCCTGTGGGTCCGGCGGCTGGGGGAACCAGGCGAGCGTCAGAGGCCCCGCCCCCCTCTCTGCCCTTTCCTCTCTGCCCTCAACTTCTGCGTGCCAGGATCGCATGTCTAGCCCCGTTCACCTGCCCCCACGGTCCGCCTGTGTCTCCTTAGCAGCCCTGAGTCAGCCCACAAACCGGCCACGGGTCTCCGACTCCCCAGGGACGGTTAGATCCGGACACTTCTGCCCGGGAGCTGCCCTGAATCTCGGACGACTCCGCGAGCCCGAGCCACGCCCCTGCGTGCTGACCACTCCCCTCGAGTCAGAGCCGTGCCCACCCACTGTTAACGCCTCACCCAAGCCCTAAGCAATTGCCACGCCCCTAGGATATAGTCACACCCATTATCAGCCACGCCCCCAGAATCGCAGCAGTCTCCACTCACCAGCCACTCCCCCAATGCAGAAGACCACGCCCTTGAACACGGCCCTGGAGTCCCACGCGGCCCTGGCACTCTTCCGTGATCCCCAGTCCAGCCCCAGTGCAGCAGCCCAGGCCCCCCAAGTTGAGCCTCATCCAGCCTCATCCAGCATCCAGGCCAGCCTCTGCCACCCTCAGCATGGAACACAGTCGTTTCGGGTCCCTCACTCTCGTTCATTCTCCATTCTTCTTGAACATATGGGGAATATTCACAATAGCTGTTTGAACATCCTGATCACTAATTCCATCATCTCATCTGTGCCATTTCTGGGTCTTCGTGATTTTTCAACTTATTATGGGTTCTGTTTTTCTGCTTCTTTGCCTCTTTGCCTGCCTGTTTTTGTTTGTTTTGTTTTGAGACAGGTCTCGCTGTTGCCCAAGCTGGAATGCAGTGACACGAACATAGCTCACTGTAGCCTCAAATTCCTGGGCTCCAGCGATCCTCCCATCTCAGCCTCCTGAGTAGCTGGAACCGCAGGTGCCCGCAGCCATGCCCAGGTAATTTTTAAATGATTTTTTGTAGAGATGGAGTCTCATTATATTGCCCAGGTGGTCTTTAACTCCTGGCCTCAAGCGACCCTCCTGCCTCAGTCTCCCAAACATTACCAATATATTCTTATTTCTTTGAGAATCTTCATTTAGCATAGGTGATGCAGTTTGTCCTTTGATGATTGAGTTCCTCAGAGGTCTGGTTATTTTTGCCAGAACTCATTTTCTCCAGGGAGGTGCTGCAATCTTGACTGGAGAGAAAAACCAATCACATTGCTACTTCCTGGTATGGGAGGTTACGAGGTTTCTCCCATTTCTGCTTCTTTGAAGGGATTTATAGAGGATGTTGGCCAGGCACAGTGGCTCACATTTGTAATCCCAGCACTTTGGGAGGCCAAGGAGGTGTATCACCTGAGGTCATGAGTTCGAGACCAGCCTGGCCAACATGGTGAAACCCCATCTCTACTAAAAATACAAAGATTAGCTGTGCTGGTGATGTGCGCCTGTAATTCCAGCTACTCAGGAGGCAGAGACATGAGAATTGCCTGAACCTGGAAGGCAGAGTTACAGTGAGCTGAGATCACGCCATTGCACTCCAGCCTGGGTAACACAGCAAGATCCTGTCTCAAAAAAAAGGGAGGGGGGTGACTTACAGAGGATGTATATGGCCCAGAACAGCAGCAGAGCAGCACAATCTGGGATTCATTAACTAACCTGCTGAACTGTCTCCAGACAATCATCCACAACCCAGCCACAAAGGGATCCCTGCCCTTTTGGTAAACCACCATGAAAACATGCCCAATTTCTTCTGTTGACGTAAAAGCTTAGCTTCTGGAGTGTGGAGGAGGTGCTGCAGCTAAGCACCCTACCTGTTTCATCCGATCCTCACTCCAGCCAGGCTCAGGTGGCTCTGGCATTTCCTGAATTACTAAGTGATCATGCTCCTGTCCCACCGTGTCATCAGGCCAGGCAGTGAACTGATGAGGCAAGCTGTGAAAAAAAGACATTTTGAAAATTTTGCTCAACAGACCAGGTGCAGTAGCTCATGCCTGTAATCCCAGCACTTTGGGAGGCCGAGGAGGGCGCCAAAGGAGTTTGAGGTCAGGAGTTTGAGACCAATCTGGCCAACATGGTGAAACCCCATCTCTAAAAAGTAGCCAGGTGTGGTGGTGCACATCTGTAATCCCAGCTACTCAGGAGGCTAAGGCAGGAAAATCACTTGAACCCAGAAGCAGTGAGTTGAGATTGTGCCACTGCACTCCAGCCTGCATGACAGCGAGACTCCATCTCAAAATAATAATAATAAGAGATGTGGTCTGGCTGTGTTGCAACTCAAGATCTTCCCACCTCAGCCTCCCAAAGTGCTGGGATTACAGGTATGCCTGGACTGCTTCCCTTCTTTGAAGAGCTTGGCTTCCTCATATCTGGACATAATTTGGGATGAAATAAGGAACAGTGGGTGAATTATTGACCTCAGGTATAAATTAGTAGTCTTGCATTTGTCTTTTGACATAATTTAGAGACAAAACGGAAAAATTCAGCTGGGCGCAGTGGCTCACGCCTGTAATCCCAGCACTTTGGGATGCTGAGGCAGGAGGATCACCTGAGGTCAGGAGTTCAAGACCAGCTGGCCAACATGGTGAAACTGTCTCTACTAAAAGTACAAAAAAATTAGTTGGTCATGGTAGCAGGAGCCTGTAATCCCAGCTACTTGGGAGGTTGAGGCAGGAGAATGGCTTGAACCTGGTAAGTGGAGGTTGCAGTGGCCGAGATTGCACCATTGCACTCCACCCTAGGCAACAAGAGCAAGTCTCCATCTCAAAAAAAAAAAAAAAAAGAAAAAAAAAAGAAAGGTTCACCAACCCCAAGCCAAGCACTAGCAAATATGGGCATGGGTGGAGGGAATCTCCTGTGAAATGGGCACTTCCGGTGGGGGTGAACGGAGAGCCCCTGCCTTGCTTGAATATTGCCTGGTGGTTCTGCCCAGAGGACTGAGAGAGCAAAGTGAGCCACTGTGGGGGAGTCACACCCCCCAAGTCCCACCCAACTCCCAGATTCCCCCTCCTTCGGCAAAGCATTCGTCATCTGTTTACACTTCAATGAGAAAGGTGAAATGAAAAGCACATGGCCAGGAGTGGTGGTTCACTCCTGGAATCCCAGCACTTTGGGAGGCTGAGTTGGGTGGACCACTTGAACCCAGGAGTTGGCATCCAGCAACATAGTGAGACCTTGTCTCTATAAAAAAAAAAAATTAGCCAAGTGTGGTGGTGTGCACCTGTAGTCCCAGTTACTCAGGAGGCTGAGGTGGGAGGATCATTTGAGCCCGGAAGTCAAGGCTGCAGTGAGCTGTGATTGCACCACTGCACTGCAGGCTGTGGTGAGACCCTGACTCAAAAAATAAAAATGAAAGAAAAAACAAATGCCCCAAACAAAAAAAAATGAGGCACACATAGTCTATGCCATCCAACGTCATGTCCTCCTTGCTGTGCTTTTAAAAGCATACTCTGCCCCCACCCAAAGTGCTTTTTTAAATGGTGCAAAGTCTTGGTGACCCGTTTCTTTCCCTCACTCACATCTGTGCTGTTAACTGTGTATCTGACATCTGCGGAAAGGGTTAGCTGAATAGTTCTAAAATAATTTTCCATCAACTGAAACTCCCCATTTATTTAAGGCCAAGAAAGGTCACCTCTATGGTAAAAGCTAAGATGAATCCCAAGTTCAGAAATGCAGCAAACAATTTGTTTAGGGAAATATGAAATGTTACACATTGGCTTCTTTATTGAAGAGGCAGTTCAGACCCATTTATATATGTAAGAGTGTAAGATGACAAAGTATGTAATGACTCTTTAACCTTTTCAAATATTTCACTTAAAATATACATTCTGCTAAGCTTTAAGGTCAGCGCAGGAAATCTTAGTAGTTGCCATTAAAACTACTATAAATATGTATTTCCTGCACAGAATTATGCAAAATCTACCATTTAATTTGTTATGCAGCATATTCTTAGACATCTAGAAAAATATTAGAGGGATGAACAACACAAATGTTAGCCATTTGTGATGAGAAAACTTTTATGAAAAATGTAACACACATGCAGAAAAAAATACACATATCTTAAGTGCACAGCTCAGAACACACTCAGATACTTAGCACCCAGGTTCAGAAACAGATGATTCCCAGCACCAGATAAATGCCTCCCTTCAGCCCTAGCCAAGGCTGTTATCCTAATTTCCTACTGCATAGATGAGTTTTGCCCAGCTTTATAATTTATATAGAAGGAATCAGACAGCGTGTTAGCTTTTGTCTGGAGTCTTTCATTCAGCAAGGTTTGTCAAATTCAGCTATGGTATTGCATGGGGTTAGAGTTCATTCATGCTCACTTTTTACAGTATTCCACAGAAATGTGCCACTTGTTTATTCATCCTATTGCACATGTGCCTTAAGATAGTTGTCTTGTGCCATTTTATGCTATGAATATTTTAGTGCGTGTCCTTTGGTGGAGAGACATGCGTTTTTGCTGGGCTTGGGTAAAAGGGTGTACACATGCTTGGTTTTAAGTGCCAGCTTTCAAAAATGGTTTTATCAATTAGCAATTCCACCAGTAGTGGACAGTTCCTCTTGTTTAGATCCTTGCCAAAACGTGATGCTTTTTCATTTTAACCATTTCCATGGATGGGCAGAACTACATGGTGTTTGAATTTTGCACTTCCCTGATTACTAATAAAGTTAACACATCTTTTCATGTTTATTGGCCATCTGGATATCTTTTAAAGTGAGTGGACATCCTCTATACTCTTTTGCCTTTTCCATTTTCCCCCTTGTTGATTTGTAGGTGCTTTTTACATATTCTAGATCAGGGACCAGAAAACAGTAAGTGCAGACCAAATTCAGACTGCCACTTGTGTTTGTGAATACACATATCTTAAGTGCACAGCTCAGAACACACTCAGATATTTAGCACCCAGGTTCAGAAACAGATGATTCCCAGCACCAGATAAATGCCTCCCAGTTTTACTGGGAAGCAGCCACACTTTTTTTTTTTCAATACATTGTGTATGGATGCTTTCACACAGTAGCAAAGATGAGCAGTTGTGACAAAGCCAAAATTTTTTACCACCTGGTGCCTTGCTAAAAAGTTTGCCAACACTTTTGCTACACTCAGTTCTGTTGTCATATACATGAACTGCAACTATCTTCTCGCCATGGTTTCCTGTTCACTCTTACTGGTGGTCTTTCTGGTAAATAGAAGTTCTGAAATTTAATATTAAGTTATAATTTTATGGGCTAGTTTTGGACCCTCAATAAGACTTTACTTACTCCAAGGTTACAAACTGTCCTAAGATCTCTTTGTAAAGCTTTATTTCACATTTCATATTCAGATCTGCAGTCCACCTCCAACCGACTTTTTATTAAATTACAAAATGTAATTGGCAAAGCACATTTACTGGAAAAAAACACCTTTTCCCCCACTACACTTTGATGTCACTATTGTCAAGTCAGGTGATGGTATACATGTGGGTTTATTTATGAATCTTTATGCTGTTCCACTGGTCAATTTGTTCATCCTTGTGCCAAAATCACACCATCGTAATTTCTATGGCTTTGTAACAGGTCTTGATATTTGGGGATTTCAATCCTTTCTGTCTGGTCTACAAGATAGCCTTGACAATTACTGGCCTTTTGAATATGCACATGAATTCTAGAATTAGCTTGTTAATTTACATTAAAGAACTTGCTAGGATTTCATTAAGGTTCAATGAATTTAGGAAAAAGCAACATTGTTTTGAGATTGTCCTGGAATCCTATCCCACTCTCTCCTTTGTAAATTTCTTTTCCGCATACAGTCCTTTAAAGCATATTAGCTAATTTTTTCTCCTAGGCACTTGAGAAACTTTTAAGTGATACTGCTTTTCAAAATTTCATTTTCCATGTTTTTTCATGTATTATAAAATGCCTTTTGCATAACTTTTATGCAGGGAACTTATCAAATTTACTCATCACATCTGCAAATAAGGTTTTCATTCTTTTTCTTTTTTAAAGTTTTACTTCTCTTTTCTTTTTCTGAGGTAGAGCCTCACTCTGTAGCCCAGGCTGGAGTGCAGTGGCACCATCTCAGCTCACTGCAACCTCCACCTACCAGTTCAAGCAATTCTCTTGCCTCAGACTCTTGAGTAGCTGGGATCACAGGCATTCGTCACCATGCCCAGCTAATTTTTTTTTTTAGTAGAGATGGGGTTTTACCATGTCAGCCAGGCTGCTCTTGAACTTCTGACCTCATGATCTGCCCACATCAGCCTCCCAAAGTGCTGGGATTACAGGCGTGAGCCACTGCGCCCAGCCTGTTTTACTTCTTTTTTAATCTTTATGCCTTTTGTTTTTCTTGTATTAGTTTTCTGGTGGGGTCCTTCTGAACAATGTTGAATAAAATCAGTGACAGTGGATATCCTTGTCTATTTTCATAATCTTGGGAGAAATCACTATATCATCATTAAGCATACTGTTTGTTGTAGTTTGTCTCTTTATGAAACTAAGGAAGTCCCTTTCTACCCATCATTTGCTAATATCATATGAACATTAATTTTGACACATGAATATTCTGCATGCCAGATTACTTTTCTACAGGTGGTGTATAATAGCAACTGATTTTTAAATATTAAGCCACCGTTGCATTTCTGGAAGACAACCTATCTAATTACCATATTACCTTTTTCCAGAACAAACCCGTCTTTGTTTTGTCTGCCCAGTATCAGGTCATATGACCACTATAAAACAAGTTACTGGCAAAGAGAATGAAATCATCATCATTTTGACTAATCACGATTTGCCCACATCATGTAAAGAAGTGGTAGGTACCTAAACTTTTCCAGCAAGAAATGGAGGACATTAATTGACCAAAAAACAATTGCTAGAAACTTGAATTAATTTGTTCTAAAATACTGGGAATAAGGGGAATGCACAAAACAATGATATTGTATTTATATCAAATAAGTTTCTGAATAAAATCTCAGAATTACAAAATATTGGCACTAGACACATTCAAACGTATGGATTAAAAAGGGTGGTGGTGTGAGAGCTGGGGATATTTTCGAGTATGGGCGGTATGTTTGTTCTCTTTCACTGAAATAGACTTAAACAGTTCCAAATTACGTATGTATAATTTATCAAAATAGGCTTTAAAAAAATCTTATCTTGCTCAGATGCAGTTGAAAACTTTACAAAACCACTGCCCCCTCTACGATTGAGGCATTTGTTAAAAACTCATTTGTAAATTCCTCTAAATAGAAAATTATGCACTTTACCATTTTATAACTATTAAATATTATCTCAATAACAATATGTCCTGTCTCAGTACACCTTGTCATCCTAGCACGCAAATAAGAAAACTGCCTTTTCATAAGTCATCCAAATCCAAACTTGCATAGAATTACCATTAGATTGCATTTTTAAAACATGATTAAAAAATGGCCATATACTTATTTAATGCTGCTGTCCTCATGATCAATTCCTGATAATTTTAAAACTTCATTTTATACAATGAAGGTTTATTCAGAGCTTATAGTCTCTGGGATCTTTCCTTAAACACCTGATTTTACATCAGAAATATGGCTTCCAGCAGAACAATTTCCAAGACAATATATTTTCCACATTCACCATACTGACAGATTTTGCCTTTGTATGATTCCGATATATAAATACAATTTGAATCCAAAATAAATATTAAATATTTATAAATCTCCACTCCTGCATAAATTATCTAGTGTCCAATGAGTCGTATGATGTTGCTGAAGGCTTTGCTTCATGTTACATTCTTAGGGATTCTTCTCTGTGAAAATTCAGATTAAAATGAATCAAACACCTAAATGCTTCTCACTATTCAGGAACATGAACTCTCAGATAAGCTCTTTGACTTCCTATTGGATTTCCCATATTCATCCTATTCAGAGTTTTCTAAAAATTGAGATCTAACTTCAGAGATTTTCCACATCAAGTACATTCATATTTCCTCTTCTATGAATTCTCTGATGGCTATTGAAGGCTGATCTGTGGTGGAATTTTTTCCCACATTCATTACATTCATAGGGTTTCTCTCCTGAATGAGTTCTATAGTGTACAGTGAGGTATGACTTCTGAGAAAAGACTTTCCCACATTCATTACATTCATAGGGTTTCTCTCCTGAATGGCTTCTGTAGTGGACGGTGAGGTTTGACATCCGAGAGAAGACTTTTCCACATTTACTACATTCATAGGGTTTCTCTCCTGAATGAATTCGATGATGTATAGTGAGATATGATTTCTGAGAGAAGAATTTTCCACATTCGTAACATTCATAGGGTTTCTCACCTGTGTGTACTCTTTGATGTCTAAAGAGGGATGAATTATGGGAAAAGGTTTTCCCACATTCACTACATCCATAAGGTTTCTCTTCAGAATGACTTCTATAATGTTCAGTATAGTATGACAACTCAGAGAATAACTTTCCACATATATTACATTCATAGGATTTCTCCCCTTTTGGAAGTGACTGGTGCCCATCGAAGGCTGAATTTACAAGGAAGTTTTTCCCACATTCATTACATTCATAGGATTTCTCTCCCAAATGAGCTGTATGATGGTCAGTGAGATACGACAACTGAGAGAACTTTCCACATTCACTACATTCATGGGATTTCTCTTCTGTGTGTACTTTCCGATGTCTAATGAAGGCTGAATTTAAGTTGAAGGTTTTGCCACATTCATTACATTCATAGGGTTTCTCTTCTAAATGACTTCTATAATGTATAGTGAGGTATGACACCCGAGAAAAGAATTTCCCACACTCACTACACTGATAGGGCTTCTCTCCTGTGTGTGTTCTCTGATGTGTTATCAGGGTAGACTTTCGGTAGTAGGATTTCCCACATTCATTACATTTATAAAGTTTCTCCCCTGTGTGAGTTCTCTGATGGTCACTGAGTGCGGACTTGCGGGAGAAGGATTTCCCACATTCATTACATGGATAGGGCCTCTCTCCTGAATGATTTCTCTGGTGTAGGGTGAGATGTGTCTTTTGGCAGAAGGTTTTCCCACATTCGCTACATTCATAGGGTTTCTCTCCTGAATGAGTTCTTAGGTGTTGAGTAAGGTGTAATTTCTGACAAAAGGTTTTCCCACATTCATTACATTTATAGGGCTTCTCCTCTAAGTGTGATCTCCGATGTACAGTGAGGGTTCCCTTTTGGCTGAAGGATTTCCCACATACATTACATTCATAAGGTTTCTCTCCTGTGTGAGCTCTCTGATGAATGATGAATTTTGACTTTTTACAGAAGGATTTTCCACATTGACTGCATTCAAAGGGCTTTATTTCCATTTGTGTTCTCTGATATGCACTAAAATTTGACATCTGCATGAAGTCTGGTCCAGAATCATTCCATTCATAGGGCTTCTCCCCTATGAAAGCTCTCTTATGAGCAATAAAAACAGCTTCATTGTCTAAGGCTTCCATGCACTCATTATACTCAAAGGGTTTCTCCAAAATATTAATTTTCTGAAGAATATTTTCTTCACTTTGAGAACAGGTATCCCCATTTTGATTAAATTCATATGTTTTCTCACATTCATTACATTCATCAGGTTTTGTCCTGGCATAGCTTCCATCACTACTAATTAATTCTGAAATAGATCCTAAATTCTTTCCACATGAGACACAATCATGAGCTATCATGCTTGAAGGAACAAGGCTTCTTTCCATATAGGTTTGGCCAAATGTATTCTCTTTCTCTTCAGTCAGGGTTTTGTTGTTGATACAAACAGCTTGGCTTGAATGTTTGTCTTCATTTTCTTGGACTCTCTCTATTTGGTCATCAACTTTCCAGACTTCTAAAAAGGAAAAAAAGTAAACAAACTATAAATCTGAACACACTAGCTATGGAAAGGTACAGGTATTCAAGAGCCCCCAATGTGGGGTTGACTCTGGCGTCAGAGCCAATCTCCACAAATAATAATTACAAACACATAGTTCTCTTTTTCCTTTGCTTTCTAATATAAAACATAAATGCACACACATAAACAGGGTGGTGAAAAAATAAAGATGAAATAGTAGTGGAAGATGGAAGAGTAATTCATATTGAATACAGGTAACTTTGTCACTTTACAAATATTATGTTTCAAACTCTGGTAGAAAAGATGAAATAAAACCAATAAATGATGAGCAGAGAAGTGACTGAAAGAGTGCCAGATCCAGGCAAAGATGGGAGGACTCAGAGCAGATGGGATCAGTGGGAACAAAAGCAGTTACTGCGTCTATATGCAAAGACCCCATTATGGATTGTATCTGGGAGAAATCTATTACAATTTCTATATTAAACTGCAAAATATCACTTCATATCAAGACTACAATGGCAGCATCCCCACTAGCCTAGACCCTTGCAAAATCAATGCATCATTATACTGCATACAAATGCAAATAAACATTCTAAATGTTCTGATTTCTTCACGTTTACAAAGAGGATTCACATTCAACTGGAGGAGAGATCCAGGCACATGATTGTCCAAAAGAAATAAAAGACCAGAGAGCAAGGTTTTTGTTTTTGTTTTGAGACAAAATCTTGCTGTGTCACACAGGCTGGAGTGCAATGGCACAATCTTGGCTCACTGCAAGCTCTGCCGCCTCCGAGGCTCAAGAGATTCTCCTGCCTCACCCTCTCGAGTAGCTGGGATTACAGGCACATGCTACCATGTCTAGCTAATTTTTGTATTTTTAGTAGAGAAGGGATTTCACCATGTTGCCCAGGCTGGTTTTGAACTTCTGACCTCAGGTGATTCACCTGTCTCGGTCTCCTAAAGTGCTGGGATTACAGGTGTGAGCCAGGGCAAGGTATCTTAAAAACAAGATCATGCTGGGCATGGTGGCTCATGCCTGTAATCCTAGCACTTTGGGAGGCCAAGGCCAGTGAATTGCCTGAGCTCAGGAGTTTCAGACCAGCCTGGGCAACATGGCAAAACCCTGTCTCTACTTTAAAAAAAAAAAAAAAGAAAAAGAAAAAGAAAAAACAAAGCAAAAACCCCAAGATCAGATCTTTGAAGTGTTTTGAAAGTCTTACTAGCTAACCTTCTTAGCCATTAAATTCTACTTTCCCTGCTTGCACAATATAGCACAGTGGTTAAGAGCATGAACACCAAAGCAGGACACCTCAGTTCAAACCCCCAACAATTTACTAGCTAAGACACCTTGGTCAAGTTACGTAACTGTGGTGCAGTTTCACTCATTTGAAATGTGAATACGAGTGCCTAAATCATAGGCACTGTCAAAGGACTGAATTAGTACAAATAAACTGCTTAGAACAGTTTATAACATAAAACGAATGCTCATTAAGTTGAGCCATTAATTTTCTTTCAATTTGCCGACTTAAATTTCCTAAAACGAGTCATGTCTCTGTATAATTATTTTACTTAATTCTAAGTACAAACAAGAGTTCCCAAACACTTGGTGTTTCATTTGGTGGAAAATCTTATACCTCAGATTCCTAAAGCTGGCCCTACAATGTTAACTTTTATTTTTATGTATCTTACAAATTTTTGGATCCACAAAACTGTTGTTAGCTGCTATCACCCACATGCAATGCAACCCTGACAGTGCTCTGCTCAGAAATCTACAACATCCCTGAGCTCAAGCAACCCAAACACCAACAGAAGAAACAGAAAGATTATTAGTAATATTTTTCACTACTTGAATTCAAAATATTTATCCAACCTAGCATTGTACTAATCTGCTAACAACATCTTCTGCTTCTGGAAGCCTAGGCTATGTCTTGCTCATTCTCAACCACAAGTCTGCACTCATGATCTTCCCCACTCAGTTTGACTTCTGGCATTGGCTATACTCAAAACTTATCTATGCTTTCGGCGAAGCTTCAAGATATTTATCAAATCTCTTCCCAGTTCACTGAATGTCTTTCCCTTACATTTTAAAATAGCTTTTATATAAAGTTGCACAATGTGCATTGGGGTCTAAATATTCCATGTAAAAGCTGAATTTTAAAGTAGTTCATGCAGCTATGATCTCATTTCCTAACCAATATGCCCTTGGAAAGTATTCATATTTTCTTTTAATCTCCGTGAACAGAAATTAAAATCGTTCCTAATCTGATGGGTGCTTACAAAGTTATAATCTAACCCCTATCTGTTTTATCAGAAACTATAGTTCAGAATAAATGATCTCTCAATGGATTAATGATAAAAGATCTTTCATTATTTAGCTCCTAGGTAAGTCAGTAAAATCCTATTGAATGCCTACTGTATGTTGCCTATCAAAGCAAGAAGAGTAAAAAGGTCTTTCCTCTTTGGAGGATTATAATTCAGGTAGATGAAACTGAAACAACAAATATATGCAACTAATTATCACATTAATCATAGACCATATACTCCTATCAGAGCATATAATCACAGAGCATATACTCCTATCAGAGCATATAATCGCAGGGCATATACTCCTATCAGAGGGTATGATCGCAGGGCATATACTCCTATCAAGCGTATAATCAGAGCATATACTCCTGTCAGAGCATGTAATCACAGAGCATATACTTCTATCAAGCATATAATCACAGAGCATATACGCCTATCAAGTGTATAATTACAGAGCACATACACCTATCAGAGCACATAATCATAGAGCATATGCTCCTATCAGAGTGTATAATCACAGAGCATATACTCCTATCAGAGTGTATAATCACAGAGTGTATAATCACTCCTATCAGAGCTATACTCAGCACATATAATCCTAACAGAGCATAGAATCATAGAGCATATTATTTCTTTTTTTTTTTGAGATGGAGTATTGCTCTGTCAACCAGGTTGGAGTGTAATGGTGCAATCTCCACTGACTCCAACCTCCGCCTCATGGGTTCAAGTGATTCTGCTGCCTCAGCCTCCTGAGTAGCTGGGATTACAGGCATGCTACCATGCCTGGCTAATTTTTATATTTTTAGTAGAGACAGGGTTTGACCATGTTGGTCAGGCTGCTCTTGGAACTCCTAACCTCATGATCCCCCAACTTCAGTCTCCCAAAGTGCTGGGATTATAGGCATGAGCCACTGCACCAGGCCTAGAGTATATACTTCTATCAGAGGATATAATCACAGGGCATACACTCCTATCAGGGCATACACTGCTATCAGAGCATAAAATTTAGAGCATATACTCCTATCAGAGTTTATACTCAGAGCATATAATGCTACCAAAGCATAGAATCAGAGCTTACACTCCTATCAGAGCATATAATCTAATCAGAGCATATAACTTAGAGCATATAATCCTATCAGAGTTTATACTCATATCAGAGTATATAATCATATCCAACTTTCTGTGGTAACAATCACTAAGTGGAACAGATATCAAGAGAAAAGGAAGACCGGAGGGGTCAATGAATCATGACGAAAACTTCAAGGAGATAATCTTTAAGCTCAAATGTAAAGGATAAAGTTCTAAAGTTTATTGCTCAACAATGCAAATACAGTTAACATTACTGTACACTTAAAAAGGGTTAAGATGGTAAATTTTATGTTACTTTTTTTTTTTTTTGAGATGGAGTTTTGCTCTTGTTGCCCAGGCTGGAATACAATGGTGCAATCTCGGCTCTTTGCAATCTCCACCCGCAGAGTTCAAGCAATTCTCCTGCTCCAACTTCTCAAGTAGCCGAGATTACAGGCATGTGCCACTATACTTGGCTAATTTTTGTATTTTTAGTAGAGATGGGGTTTCACCATGTTGGCCAGGCTGGTCTCACACTTCTGACCTCAGGTAATCCACCCTTTTCGGCCTCCCAAAGTGCTGGGATTACAGGCGTGAGCCACCATGCCTGGCCTGTTACATGCTTTTTAACCACAACTGAAGGGGGCCAGGTACAGTGGCTCACACCAGTAATCCCAGCACTTTGGGAGGCCGAGGTGGGCAGATTACCTGAGGTCAGGAGTTCAAAACCAGCCTGGCCAACATGGTAAAGCCCAGTCTCTACTAAAAATACAAAAACTACCCACGTGTGGTGGCATGTGCCTGTAATCCCAGCTACTCAGGAGGCTGAGGCAGAAGAATTGCTTAAACCTGGGAGGTGGTGGTTGCAGTGAGCCAAGATAGTACCACTGCGTTCCAGCCTAGGCAACAAAACAAGACTCCTCAAAAAAAAAAACCCATAACAATTCTGTAATGGTGAGGGAGTAAGTAAGTTACTGATAATGCTCGAGAAAGAGGAAATTAATGGCTCCTCAGTACAGGTTAAAATGAAAAAATGCCTACCAATGTACAGCAAATGTAAAATCAACAAAAGAGTTCATGTATGTGTGCTGGAAAGAAAGTGGTATTTGGGTGTTGGAAGGTGTTACTCAGGGTACTGAATACATATAAACAACAGTCTTTAGTCACTCCCAAAGGTCTGGGATGAGCATTTTTTAATATTTGATACTCTACTAACTTACCTGGACTATGTTGACATGGAAATTCATCTTCCATTATCCATGGCTCTTCTCCCTGCTCCAACTTAATGATGACATTCGGCTTGGTGATATCACATCCTGTTAATAGGAAAAGAAGAATAACTTGGATGAGCTGCTTGGCTTCAGAATCTCTCAAATACAAGATGTTGCCACCTCATAAGCTGCATAACAGAAGTGCCCCATTTTTTACCTTATCAAAGTTAGAACCTTTCAATGAATAATAATATAAACACTCCAGCTAGTGCCCACAAAGAATTAAATGGTGTCATCACTTATTTCCTCAAACTCAAGGATAAAACCCCATTCAACTGAAAGCATTCAGAAAGAAAGCTATCCTCACCCACAGAAACAAGATGGCTATAGTTCTCCAGCATCACATCCCTGTATATTATCTTCTCATCAGGGTCCAGTTGCTGCCACTCCTCCTGGGTGAAGTCCACTGCTACGTCTTTGAATGACACTGGCCCCTGTAATGGCAACATGATCAGAATTGGGAGATGTGAAAAAGAAATAGGGGGATAACATTTTACAAAGCTCGCTGGTAAAGTTAACCACGAACATTGTATACCTTATCTTATGTTACAGACTGTGGAAGGGAAATCATATTAGCAACACATATTCCTTGGGGTCCTTAACATATATGCATATAAAACCCCACAAAAATAAAAACTCAAAACACAACTGAGTTCTTATTTTGCAACTGAACTGAGTTTTGGGGATATAAGATGAGTGAAACACCATGACGGCTCTCAAAAAGCTGACAACCTGATAAGGAGATAAACATGTAAACAAACATGAGCATTTTACTCCTTGTCACTTCTTTCAGACTCCTTTGCTGCCAGACTTCTGGTCCCTTCTCCTGGACCTCTTCAGGTTGGAGTGACCACCACTCAGTTCCAGGTCTTCTTCTTCCTAACTCACTGCTCTGGGGCTCTCACCCTGTTTCAGCTCCTCATTCCTTTGGCTCTTCTCAAAGCCAGTGGCTTCTGGCTATCTACATGGCTGAGTTTTACCTTAAACATCTCATGCTTACAGCAATGAATATTCATTAAATGAATGAATGTCCAAAGCTGTTATTAGAGTAATGTAGACAAGGGGCAGAATGATTTAATAAAAGACAATCAAATTATTTTAACTTTATGCCATTAGATTAGGTTTCACAGACTCAGTTAATATGACGAGGTGTAAAAAGTACCAATGGCAAAAATGAAGCAGTTTCAATCTTTAAGAGGTTGGGGCTGGGCATGGTGGTTCATGCTTATAATCCCAGCACTTTGGGAGGCCAAGATGGGAAGACCGTTTGAGCTCAGGAGTTCGAGACCAGCCTAGGCAACAGAGTAAGACCTCATCTCTGCTAAAAATAAATTTTTTAAAAAATTGGCTAGGCATCATGGCACATGCCTATAGTTCCAACTACTCAGGAGGCTAAGGCAGGAGGATTGCTTGAGGAAGGTCAAGGCTGCAGTGAGCTATGATTGTACCACTGCACTCCAGCCTAGGTAACAGAGCGAGACCCTGTCTCAAAAAAAAAAAAGAAAGAAAGAAAAAAAAAGAAAAATATAAAACTTGGCTCCAGCAATCCACCTGCCTTGGCCTCCCAAAGTGTTGGAATTACAGGCTTCACTCAGCATGCCCTGCCCAAACATGTAGTTTAGAAGAAGGAAGTGCCCAATAAGGATAAGGAAGGAATGTTACATTACTCTATAATTTATAAAGAACATTATAGGCAAATGTTCTTTGTTCAGAAGGGTTCAAACCCAGTGATACGCCTAAGACCATGCAGATCCCAAGAGACAGCAGAAGCAGAGCTGCTAGGCTGGTGGGCTGAGAAACTAAAGCAGAACATCCAAGCTTATCCACAGGCAGGCCACAGGAGCTGATAAAATCACCACGAGAGAGTAATAACCTTCTGGGTTGTTAGTTCAGAAGGCAAGGAGATGGCAGGGGTTAGAAGACTGATCAACCAATAAATAACACAAAATTACATGCCAATACCACTTACATCAATACAAACACCCAAAATGAAACATAACCAAACAAAATCCAGTACCAGATTAAAAACATACACTAGCCAAATGGGACTTATTCCAAGAATACAGACTAGTTTAACATTTGGAAATCTATTAATATGATATGCCATTATAACAGAGCAAATAAGAAAAATCTTGTATCTGTGAAGATACTTGAAAAAGTCTGACAGAAAAAGCTAATTTAAAAAAACAAACTGGAGAAAATAGGAACTGATGGATACTCCATTAACATCACTAATATATATATACATGTACACACATATAAATATTACACCCTAATATCCAATAGTATGTATGATATATGTGACATATATATTTCAATTACATACAAGCACATATGTACAGTTTAAGTTTACACACACACACACACACACACTCTTATGCCTCAGTCTTCTCAGTCTAAAAAGTCAGGATTTTACTTAGCAGGGAAAAACTACATACCTTCCCACTAATATCAAGAACAAGATATTAATAAAATGCTCATTATCTACAATTAGAGAGGAGAAAACAATCAGAGGAATATACCTAAGAAAAAAAAAGTGGTCAGGCGTGGGATCCCAAAGTCAGCCCAGCACTTTGGGAGGCCAAGGCGGGCAGATCACCTAGGTCAGGAATTTGAGACCAGCCTGGTCAACATGGTGAAGCCCCATCTCTACTAAAGATCCCCCCAAAATTAGCTGTATCATTAAGATCAATTTAATAATACAAAGATATCAGTTATCCTAAATTACTTTATAAATATGTGATTCCAATAAAAATAGCAAAAAGTTTTTTCCTGGAACAAGACTAGCTGACATTACAGTTCACACAAGGTAGGAGATAAAAAACAGCTAGGGGAAAAAACCATTTGGACATGAATAAAACTGTATCCAGTTCAGGTGTAGGGGCTCATGCCAGTAATCCTAGCACTTTGGAAGGCTGAGGCAGAAGGATCGCTTGAGGCCAGGAGTTTGAGATTAGTCTTGGCAACATAGCAAGACCCTGTCTCTACAAAGGAAAAAATATATATATTAGAAAAAACATATATAGAGACACATTAGGACTTCTGCCCTCAGTTGTGATAAACTAACAGGTACTAGATATACCCTCCAACCTGAAACAGCACACAAGAACTACAACAACAAAATCAAAAAAAGAAAGAAACAAAACGGACAACATATCTGAAAAAATGGTTTTCAAGGCACTGATTATCTGGCAGCAGAGCTACCGATGAAAGATGGGAAATAAACGAGGTGAACCATACAACTTCAGCCTTGCACGCTTCCAGGCCACAGAGCAGGGAAGAAGAGCAGAGGCAGACGTAAGGAGAAAGAGTTGCAAGATGGGAAAACAGGGAGGAAATTATAACCCATAAGAAAGAAAAGAACTAGTCAATCAAAACTGGCCCAGAATTGACACAGACTTTACAACTGGCAGAGAGCACTGAGACAATTTATAACTCTATTCCAAATGTTCAAACAAATTGAGACAGGCAAGATGTAAAAAAGATCCACACTAACCTTGTACAGATAGAAACTACAATATCTGAGATGAAAATTATACTGGACAAGATTAACAGTATCGCAGAAAAAAGAGATTACTGAATATAAAGACAGCAACAGAAGCTACACAAAATGAAACAGAGAAAAAAGAATTAAAAGCAAATAAAGACCAACAGTGTGTTATGGGAAAATTGCAAGTGGACTAATATATAGGCAACAACAATTGATGGAGGGGAGGTGATGGGTAGTTGAAGAAATAATGATAAAAATGTTCCCAAAGTGATGAAACCAGAAATCCAAGATCCAAGAAGTTCAATGATCCCCAAAACAGAAACATGAAAGAAATGATACCATGATACATTGCAATCGAACTGCCCAAAACTAGTGACGAAAAGTTTAAAACAATAAGGGGTGAAGAAAAAAAGAAATGTTTTATACAGGGGAACAAAAATGAGGATGAGATCAGATTTCTCCTAGAAAAAAATGTAAGCAGGAAGAGAATAGAGGAACATATTTAAATTACTGTGGAGAAAATCCAGCAAAAATACCTTTTAAAGCAAAGACACAATGAAGACATTTGCAGACATACAAGAATTCATCAGCTAGTTAAAGAAAGCCCTTCAGGCAGAAGTAAAATGACAGCAGATACAAATTTAGATTTACACAAAGGAATGAAGAGTATCAGAAGTGGTAACTGTGTATTTTATCTCATTACTTAGATCCCTTTAAAAGATGCAGTGGCTCATGCCTGTAATCCCAGCACTTTGGGAGGCCAAGATGGGTGGATCACCTGAGGTCAGGAGTTCAAGACCAGCCTGGCCAACATGGTAAAACCTCGTCTCTGCTAAAAATACAAAACTTAGCTGGACATGGAAAATGTTAAGAATGGAGTAACCGAACAAAAGGAAGTATCTGGGATTTCTTTGTAAAATCCCTGCAATTTTTCTGAAAATTTGAAATGATTTCCAAATAAAATGTTCAATTGAAAATAATGCTGTTACTCCAGCCTGGGCAAAGAGAATACATCTCTTTAAATCCACAAGTAACAAAATTGGTTTTTTCTTCTAATCATTAAAAGCAATGTCGTGGATAGGAATATGGTTTCAGTTTGTGTCTCCACCCAAATCACATGTCAAGTTTTAATTCTCAATGTTGGAGGTGGGGCCTGGTGGGAGGTGATTGGATCATAGAGGAAATTTCCTTTTTGGTGCTGTTCTCCTGATCCTGAGTGAGTTATCCCAAGATGTGGTTGTTTAAAAGTGTGTAGCACCTCCGTCTCTCTCTTCCTCCTGCTCTGGTGATGGAATATGTACCTACTTCCCCTTCCCCTTCTACCATGACTATAAGTCTCCTGAGGCCTCCCCAGCCATGCTTCCTACTCTAAAGCCTGCAGGCATAAGCCAATTAAACCTCTTTTTAATTTAATTTTATTTTTTAAGACCATGTCACTTTCACCCTGGCTGGAGACTTTCACCCTGACTGGAATACAACAGCGAGATCTCAGCTCACTGCGACCTCTGCCTCCTGGTTCAAGCAGTTCTCCTGCCTCAGCCTCCCAAGTAGCTGAGATTACAGGTGCCTACCACTACGCCTGGCTAATTTTTTAAAACTTTTAGTGGAGATGGGATTTCACTATATTGGTCAGGCTGGTCTCGAACTCCTGACTTCAGGTGATCCGCCCACCTCAGCCTCCCAAAGTGCTGGGATTACAAGTGTGAGCCACCTCACCCAGCCCAACCTCTTTTATCAATTACTCCGTCTCAGTTATTTCTTTGTAACAGTGTGAGAATGGACTAATACAGATGGCATTTTCCTTTTGTGATAACTGCCAAGAATATCAGTCCTGGGTGCTGGTCAAGTTCAACAGCCTTAAAATAAAACGCCCGACAGGCGCGGTGGCTCAGGCCTATAATCCCAGCACTTTGGGAGGCCGAGGCGGGTGAATCACGAGGTCAAGAGATCGAGACCATCTTGGTCAACAAGGTGAAACCCCGTCTCTACTAAAAATACAAAAATTAGCTGGGCACGGTGGCGCGCACCTGTAGTCCCAGCTACTTGGGAGGCTGAGGCAGGAGAACTGTCTGAACCCAGGAGGCTGAGGTTGTGGTGAGCTGAGATCGCACCATTGCACTCCAGCCTGGGTAACAAGAGCGAAACTCCTTCTCAAAAAAAAAAAAACAATAATAATGTCCATACATAAGAGCTTCACAAATAATTTTTGGTGCTGCTCTGCCACACTAACTATATTTTACACGATAATATCTATTTCTACATTCCCATTTTAAAGTATGAATCCTGGCTGGGTGCAGTGGCTCACATCTGTAATTCTCAGCACTTTGGGAGGCCAAGGAGGGAGAATCATCTGAGGTCAGGAATTCAAGACCAACCTGGCCAACATGGTGAAACCCTGTCTCTACTAAAAATAAATAAATTAGCCAAGCATGGTGGTACACATCTGTAATCCCAGCTACTCAGAAGGCTGAGGCAGGAGAATCACTTGAACCCAGGAGGCAGGGGTTGCAGTAAAACACGATCAAAACAGAGCAAGACTCTGTCTCATAAAAAAAAAAAAAGGGTGAATCCTTACGAACCTCTTAAAATGCATCATAAAATAAAGTGGAAGAACATATACATAAGCAGGACACCTCACCTGCAATTTGTTCATTTTCTGCTGCTCTTGGAAATGTGCAGAGACTGTGGCTGGTACACCTAGAAGGAGAAAAGCAGGTCATTGAAGTCATAAGGGCTCTGGCCTGCAAAAGCAGGAATCTCCTGTTTAGAACCACAAAAGAAAGCTCAATAGGCTAACACCCTGTGAACACTCAGCCTGCAAACACTCAGAAGGGCCTAAAAGAGCGATACAGGGTTTTGCCATGTTGGTCAGGCTGGTCTCCAATTCTGGCCTTAAGTGATCTGTCTGCTTTGGCCAACACGGTGAAACTCTGCCTCTACTTAAAAATACAAAAAATTAACCAGGCGTGGTGTCACCCACCTGTAGTCTGAGCTACTCAGGAGGCTGAGGCACAACAATCCTTGGAACCTGGGAGGTGGAGGTTGCAGTGAGCCGATATCACGCAGCTGCACTCCAGACTGGGCGAGAGACACTGTCTCAAAAACACAGTGAAGGGGAAGCATGCACTTCTAAGTCTATAACTCTAACATTATCAGGTGGGAATTAGGTGAGTTAGACTCTCAAGGGTAGCATGACTCCTTTTACAAATAGTCTGCCATCATCAAATACAATGTGCAAAAAGAAAAAAAAAAAATCCCTTATATGGCTCAGGATTTTTGTGGGTTTGTTTGAGACAGGATCTCACTCTGCCATCCAGGCTGGAGTTCAGTAGTACATTCATGGCTCACTGTACCCTCATCCTCTTGGGCTCCATCGATCAGTCTCCCGAGTAGTTAGGACCACAGGTGCATGTCACCATTCCTGGCTACTTTTTTTTTTTTTTTTTTTTTTGTGAGACAGAGTTTCGCTTTTGTTACCCAGGCTGGAGTGCAATGGCGCAATCTTGGCTCACCGCAACCTCCGCCTCCTGGGTTCAGGTAATTCTCCTGCCTCAGCCTCCTGAGTAGCTGGGATTACAGGCACGCGCCACCATGCCCAGCTAATTTTTTGTATCTTTAGTAGAGACGGGGTTTCACCATGTTGACCAGGATGGTCTCGATCTCTTGACCTCGTGATCCACCCACCTCGGCCTCCCAAAGTGTTGGGATTATAGGCTTGAGCCACTGTGCCCGGCCCGGCTACTTTTATATTTTTTGTAGAGTTGGGGTCTCCCTATGTTGCCTAGACTGGTCTCCAACTCCTGGTCTTAAGGGATACTTCTGCCCTGGCCCCTCGAAGTGCTGGGATTACAGGTGTGAGCCACTGCATCTGGCCCGTGTTTTCTTGTCTCTTCAAATTGCTTAAAATCTAAGACAGAAGCCACAGGAATTGAGAACGTGAGCTTTCAGAAATGAAATTAATGTGTACAAAATATGGTTTCATTTCTAAATTATCCAACTAAACTTGATTATTGCTGTACCTAACAATCTCTTATTAAGAAAACTAGGGGGCGGGGGCGGTGGTTCATGCCTATAATCCCAGCACTTTGGGAGAATGAGGTGAGCGGATCACCTGAGGGTGGGAATTGGAGACCAGCCTGACCATCATGGAGAAACCCTGTCTCTAGTAAAAAATACAAAAAATCAGCCGGGCGTGGTGGCAGATACCTGTAATCCCAACTACTCAGGAAGCTGAGACAGGAGAATCACTTGAACCCAGGAGGCGGATGTTGCAGTGAGCCAAGATCGCACCATTGCACTCCAGCCTGGGCAACAACAGCGAAACTCCCACTCAAGAAAATAAATTTAAAAATACTAGGATACAGGAGAAAGAACACTGGCCTAGGAGACAAGACTCATGAGTATGGCCAGGCGCAGCGGCTCACGCCTGTAATCCCAGCACTTTGGGAGGCCGAGGTGGGTGGATTATGAGATCAGGAGTTCAAGACCAGCCTGGCAAAAATATAAAAAATTAGCCAGGTGTGGTGGCACGCACCTTTAATCCCAGCTATTCAGGAGGGTGAGGCAGGAGAGTGGAGGCTGCAGTGAGTGGAGATCGCACTACTGCATTCCAGCCTGGGGAACAGAGCAAGACTCCGTCTCAAACAAACAAATAAAAAGACTCCTGAGTTCTACTATGAGCAACTCTACCCACAAACCCGGTGACCCGGTCAATTCGACCACCTGCTAAGGCCCAGTCTCCTCCCCTAGAAACTGAGGCAGCAAGAGATAATCCCTGCAGACCGTGCCTGCATGACTACGATTCTACAAGGCAGATCTAAGGGGGGATCAGCAGACACTTAAATGAGAGAACAGAGGTGCTGACGGACATTTAGAAACGGTCGCAATCAAGAGCTCGGGGAGGAGGAGTAAGAGCAGGTGGTGTGAGGTGGGAGTGGAGACAAAGTCTGCAGCAGAGACTGGTGACACCGTCCGCGCCCTTTTAAGCCTTCTCCTCCCAGAGCTTCCCGTGCAGCGCCGGTTCCGTGCACACAGACCCCGCCCTCAAACCCAAACACCCGTCTCTCCTGCAAGCGACCGGGACCCTCCCCCTGCCTCACACGCGGTGACTTCACCCAGGCCTTTCTCGCTCCGGGCCCGAAAACGCACGACCTACCCTCCTGGGGCTCCGGAGCCTCTGCCCACGGCTCCCGAGAGGCCGGGGCGGGGCTGCTGTCGCGGGTGCAGGTCTGCTCGCGAGGTTCCCTCCAGTCCACCTCACCAAGGCCGTTCTGCTCCCGGGCCTACGGGGCAAATCCAGGCTGGTGTCCTTTCCGGGACCTAGATCCGCCTCCCTGAGGCTCACCGTCCTGCGGACCCTGGCCCCTTCGCCTCCGCCACCAACTCCGCCACTTCCCGCCCGGCCCCTTGGGCCCCACCGCTGCGGACGTCGGGGCTCGTGCTCCGGGTTCCCCGATCGAGCCCCTGCCCGGCCCGCGCGAATCCTGGCCCGCACAGCTCCGCGCCCGCCTAGGTGCTGGCCGGGGCAGTAGACGTCTAGCCCCGCAGGCTCCGCGATTCTAGTCCACCAGAGGCCTGGGAACTAGACGTAGCGATGACCCCGGCACGCACAGGAAGCGAGGGCAGTGCGGCGGCGGCGCCCATGCGCGAACACACACACACAGGAAGAAGTGTACAAGCGCAGGAGTGCACCGGAAGTCCACCTACCGGGGCCCAACGCTGGTCCCAGGACGAGTACCGGGACTCTATTTCCCATGAACCTATGCGCCCCCCAAATTTAGGGACCATTTTAAAAGTGTCTACCTTGTCTAACGGTTAAGACGCTCCAGGCTATGAGTTTGGCAGCCCTGAACCCCGGACTAAACTTCGCATGTTTCTTTACTCCCTTTTAGGGTTAAGTCCAAGGCTGCGTGATTGGGTCCTGGAGCCCAAGTCCTCTCCTTGCCCTGCAAAGCTTTGGGTTAGAACCGAGTTTCCCATAACGTGAAGGAAAGGAAAGGAAAGGGTGTATCATGGTCACTTAGCTGAAATGCCAAGAGAAGTTTGACTCAAATACTAGAACAGGATAAATGCCCAGCGATGATTTCCAAGGAAGAAAAAGAAAATGGAATTTGTAGCTTTTCTAGATCATACAGCCAATGCCTAAAAACTGTAGAAAAATCCGGAAATAGGCACACAAATCGAAAAAGAAAAAGAGATGCCTCTGATCTTACCTTTCCAAGAGGATTGTATTTAGGGTTAGGTTCTGTTGACCAAAAAGAGTCAAAGTCTGTAAAACAAAGACTTTTATTCTGAGCCTCCTATTTGCGTGACCGTATCTGGTGACACAGCCTCAGAGGTTCCTGAGAACATGAGCCCAAAGTGGTTGGGTTACAGCTTGGTTTTATACATCTTAGGGAGACAGCAGTTTCGGGCAAAGACATGAATCTATTCATGGAATGTGTACATCACGTCAGCCAGGAAAGGCTTCCAGGTCACTATTAGATTCAAAGATTGGCAGCTGGTTCAGAGTTAAGCCTTCTTGCCCGACGTCTTCATAAAGAAATGGGCCGTTGTGGTGGCTCACATCTGTAACCCCAGGACTTTGGGAGGGTGAGCTGGGAGGATCCCTTGAGGCCAAGAATTAAAGGACAACCTGGGCAACATTGTGAGACGCCACCTCTACTCCCCCCACCAAAAAAATTATTCAGGTGTGGTGGTGTATGCCCATAGTCCCAGCTACTCAGGAGGCTGAGATGAGAGGATTGCTTGAGCCTGGGGTGTTGAGGCTACAGTGAGCCGTGATGGTGCCACTGCACTCCAGCCTGGGAAATAGAGAAGAAGAAAAAACGACAAAGACAGAAAGACATGAAAGAGGAAAGAAGGAAGGAAGGAAAGAAGAAAGAAGGAAAGAGGGGAGGGAGGGAGGGAAAGAGAGGAAAAGAGAGAGGAAGGGAGGGAGAGAGGAAAAGAGGGAAGGAGGGAGGGAAAGAAAGAAAAAGAAAGAAGGAAAGAAAGGAAGGAAAAAGATCCCAGCATTTTGGGAGGCCGAGACAGGCAGATCACGAGGTCAGGAGTTCAAGACCAGCCTGACCAATATGGTGAAACCTCGTCTCTACTAAAAATACAAAAATTAGCCAGATGTGGTGGCATGTGCCTGTAGTCCCAGCTACTTGGGAGGCTGAGACAGGAGAATCGCTTGAACCTGGGAGACACAGGTTGCAGTGAGCCAAGATCATGCCACTGCACTCCAGCCTGGGCAATAGAATGCAGTGACACTTTTGACAGAGTGCAAAAAAAAAAAAAAAAAAAAAAAAAAACTGGTAGGGAAAGAATAAAAATGAATTCTTCTGCTAACCAAGAATATTTTCTCCACAAATTCAGAAAATAAACTATTTTATTATTGAACAAGTACTAAACAAGACTGTGATGATGTGTGATGCCCATCACAGTGATCTATTAATGAGATGCAAAGAGAAATAAAGCCTCCCTTTTTGTTGTTGTTTTTGTTTTTGTTTTTGAGAGGGAGACTTGCTCTGTCGCCCAGGCTGAAGTGCGGTAATTCTAGAGTTCAAGTGCTGGGGTTCAAGCGATTCTTCTCCCTCAGCCTCCAGAGTAACTGGGATTGCAGGCATGTGCCACCATGCCCGGCTAATTTTTTTGTATTTTGGAGTTTCGTCATGTTAGCCAGGATGGTCTCGATCTTCTGACCTCGTGATTCACCCGCCTTGGCCTCCCAAAGTGCTAGGATTATAGGCATGAGCCACCAAGCCCTGCCAAAGCCTCCTTTTTGTATAGCCCAGCAGATATAATCCATTGCATACACATTCTCAAGATAAAAATGGTAACTCATCCTCATGTAAAAGGACATGCTATGCATTTTTTTTGTGGGGGGACAGGGTCTCATGTCATCCAGGCTGGAGTGTAGTGGCACAATCTTGGCTCACTGCAACCTCCACCTCCTGGGTTCAAGCAATTCTTGTGCCAAAGCCTCCTGAGTAGCTGGAATTACAGACATGCACTGTCATGACGTGCTAATTTTTGTACTTTAGTAGAGACAGGGTTCACCATATTGGCCAGGCTGGTCTCAAACTCCTTCTTTCGATTTGTGTGTAGCTTCAAGTCATCCACCATGTTGGCCTCCCACAGAGTACTGGGATTACAGGTGTGAGCCACTGCGCCTGGCCTACTATGCATTCCTAAAGACTCATCCTAAATTCACCTGGTAATCAAGGTGGCCATCTGTGCTAGTTAATTACCTGTATCCGATGAAAAAATAAGACTTCTTGTATCTCCTTGACAAACAGGTAGTAACAGCTCGAGGTACATAGGCTAAATTCCCTAGGCAACAGGGAGATGGGGATATCTTCCTCCAGGTTTACTTTTCAGAGAAGATTCTCAGGCCCTTAAGAAAAAAGTTCCTGGGCTATAATGTTGGCAAGAAGTTTATTTACCTTTTTAAAAGATTGACATAAGTTGGGCACAGTGGCTCACGCCTGTAATCCCACCACTTTGGGAGGCCAAGGCGGATGGATCACGAGGTCAAGAGATCGAGACCATCCTGGCCAACATGGTGAAACCCCGTCTCTACTAAAAATACAAAAATTAGCCAGGTGTTTGGCACGTCCCTGTAGTCCCAACTCTGGGGAGGCTGAGGCGGAAGAATCGCTTGAACCTGGAACGATTCAAGTTGCAGTGCTCCAGCCTGGGAACAGAGCAAGACTCCATCTCAAAAAAAAAAAAAAAAATTGACATACATATCAAAGGCACAAAACAAGTTATTTATATTACAAGTTTTATCAAGAAAAAACTCTTTGAAAAGGGGAGAGGAAAAAAGGTCAATTTGCCTTTTGGCAAATCAGACAAATTTACTCTTTAAAAAAAAAAAAAAAAGAAAGAAAAGAAAATCCATACAGTAAGGGCTGCAGGTCGTGGCTCATATCTGTAGTCCAAGCACTTTTGGAAGCTGAGGCAGGCAGATTGCTTGAGCCCAGGAGTTTGAGACCAGCCTGGGCAACATGGCAAAAGCCCGTCTCTACTACAAATACAAAAATTAGCTGGGCATAGTGGTGTGCGCCTACTGTCCTAGCTACTCTGGAGCCTGAGGCTGGAGAATCTCTTGAACGTGGGAAGGAGAGGTTGCAGTGAACTGAGATGGCGCCTCTGCATCCAGCCTGGGCAACAGAGCGAGACTCAGAAGGAAAGAAGGCAGGAAGGAAGGGAGGGAAGGAGGAAGGGAGAAAATCCATGCAGTGCAAACAGCAATATCCAAAAAGTTGGTACAAGTAAAATAAATGTGTTTCTAAAAATAATATTGCAGGCCAGGCACAGTGGCTCATGTCTGTAATCCCAACACTTTGGGAGGCTGAGGTGGGTGGATTACCTAAAATCAGGAGTTCAAGACCATCCTGGCCAACATGGTGAAACCCCTAAACATACAAAAACCAACTAGATGTGGTGGTGTGTGCCTGTAATCCCAGGCTCTAGAGAAACTGAGGCAGGACAATTGCTTGAATCTGGGAGGTGGAGGTTGCAGTGAGATCTTGCCATTGCACTCCAGCCTGAGTGATAGAGCGAGACTCTGTCTCTAAATAAATAAATAAAATAATGCAGATGGGATAATGAGCACAGTATATTTTAATATAAGAACACACTTTCAAAAATATGTGAATTATAGATTACGTCATTCTTACAAGCCCAAAAGGATATATTTTTTAATGACAACATAAAATACTATGAACAAACACACCAGAAAGGTACATGCTCTTAAAGATTGTGTAAAAATTGGCCAGGCATGGTGGCTCATGCCTGTAATCCCAGCACTTTGGAAGCCCGAGGCAGGCGGATCACCTGAGGTCAGGAGTTTGAGACCAGCCTGGGCAACATGGTGAAACCTTCTCTCTATTAATATACAAAAAATTAGCCAGATGTGGTGGTGTGCAACTGTAATTCCAGCTACTTGGCAGGGTGAGACAGGAGAATCATTTGAACCCGAGAGGTGAAGATTCTAATGAGCTGAGAATATGCCACTGCACTCCAGCCTGGGAGACAGAGTGAGACTCTGTCTCAAAAAAAAAAAAAAAAAAAAAAGGTAAAAATGAAACCTACATACTCCAATGTACACTTTCCCTGGGAGTAAGTATAGGTTTGACTGGATCCATTCTCAGGGAAATGTCTCTGTGTTTGGTAAGTTAGGGAACCTTTTTCTAATGTCGTTTTCTCATCTGTCCTTAGAGACTCATAATTCTTTTTTTTTTTTCTTTTTTTTTTTTTTTTTTAGATGGACTCTCACTCTATCGCCCAGACTGGAGTGTAGTGGCAGGATCTCAGCTCACTGCAACCTCAGCCTTCTAGGTTCAAGTGATTCTCCTGCCTTGGCCTCCAAGTAGCTGTGACTACAGGCGCACACTGCCACGCTCAGCTAATTTTTGTATTTTTAGTAGAGACAGGGTTTCATCGTTTTGGCCTAGGTGGTCTTGTGATCCACCTGCCTTGGCCTCCCAGAGTGCTGGGATTACAGGCATGGGCTGGGACAGTGAACACAGGGATGCGGAGATCCTGAAGATGCTTTTGGACAATGGTCTGAGGTTGGAACAGTGGCAGGAGACACCATTGACCCAAGGACACCATTGACCCCAGGAGATCCAGACACTATTGACCCTGGATCTCCAGGAAAAGAGACCAGCCTGGCAGTTACATGTGTTGTTCTTCAAACTGGTAGCCAGGTTGGAATGACCGATGACATCAGAGATTCCAACCTTCCTGATTGGACCACACTCTGTGGGCGCTCAGACACCCAGGTACACAACAGTATCTTCTCAGAGCGGTTCTCCACTCCTGACTTCTCCCCAGCCTTGAGAATAGATAACGCATTTTTACTGGTCCTGATAGAGTGTGGAAGAAGGCTTTAGACAGAACAGGGAACAGGTTCCGTGGGAGGGAACACAGTTTGGGAGACACCATGGCCAGCTGTCAACTGCAGCCGCAGCTTGAGGAGAGGAGCCCCCAGCCTAGCATCTCGGGGTACCCCCTCCTGGAGGTGACAGATGATGAAGTGCCAGGACCATCAGGTGAGGGGACTGGAGGAAGAAGAGATGGGAGAGGATTGACTAAGAAGAAGAGGGCCGGGCGAGGTGGCGCGTACCTGTAATACCAACAGTATGAAAAGATGAGGCGGGTGGATCACCTGAGGTCAGGAGTCAGAGATAAGCCTGGCCAATATGGTGAAACCTTGTCTCTACTAAAATACAAACATTAGCTGGGCGGTAGTGGTGTGTGCCTGTAATCGCAGCTACCTGGGAGGCTGAGGTATGAGAATTGCTCGAGCCTGGGAGGTGGAGGTTGCAGTGAGCCGAGATCGCGCCAATGCACTCCAGTCTGAGTGAAAGACTGAGACCCTGTTTCAAATAAAAGGAAGGGCCCACAAGTCGGGAAGAAGCTCCTGAGGAGGGTGTGTGGGAAGAAAGGAGGGACTCAGGCCAGGTCCAGTGACTCACACCTGTAATCCCAGCACGCTGGGAGGCTGAGGCAGGAGAATCACTGGAACCCAGGAGATGAAGGCTGCAGTGAGCTAAGAAGCCACCACTACACTCCAGCTTGGGTGACAACGCAAGACTCTGTCTTAAAAAAAAAAAGAGGGACTCAGAGAGCCAGGGACCAGGGAAGGAAATGAGGAAGCATTCTGAGGAGAAATGGAAGAATGGGGAGGAGGAGAGGCACATGGGGTTCAGCAAGGGAGAAGCCAGCAGCCTGTGGGGCTGGGAGGATGGAGAGCGGTTTGGGGTTTTGGGTCGGGGTCTAAGGTGATCAACTGCAGAATCATTCATTACACCGTGGCCTGCTTTCTTTACTCAGTCCTTTGGGTAGATCCCGGCACCCCGAGTAAGTTCCTTTACTGGAACATGAAGAGGGAGTGGTCGGACGAATCTGAGGAGGAGCCCAAGGAGGAGACAGAGAAGAAGCCTGAGGAGACCTGGGTGCTGGACCCCCTGTCTGGGCTCAAGATTAAGTTAAAGCAAGAGCCAGTGTCACCCGTGCTCCCTGAGGACTACAAGGCTTTTAACACGCCGCCTGGTAAGAGGACACCCCAGAGAGCACCTCCAATCCTGTTCTTTTAAAAAAGAAGCTTCCCATAACTATACTTTTCACATGGGAAAAATATGTCCCGCAGTGGGTGAGCTCTCCATGCAGAAGGACTTGACATTCCTAAGCATCACTTATGAGGGACGCTTAGGAGGCCATAGAGGACTCGGCTAGACTTGATAAGGGTCTGTGATTGGGATAAGAAAGTTTGGTTTCAGGCTAGGCGTTGTGGCTCATGCCTGTAATCCCAGCACTTTGGGAGGCCAAGGTGCATAGATCACCTGAGGTCAGGAGTTGGAGACCAGCCTGACCAACATGGTGAAACCCTGTCGCTACTCAACATAAAAAATTAGACAGGTGTGGTGGCGCAAGCCTGTAATCCCAGCTACTCAGGAGACTGAGACAGGAGAATCACTTGAACCAGGGAGGCAGAGGTTGCAAGTGAGCCAAGATGGTGCCACTGCATTCCAGCCTGGGTGACAAAGTGAGACTCTGTCTCCAAAAAATAAATAAAAATAAAAATGAAATAAAAACAAAATAAAAAAACACAGAAAGCAGTTTAAGCTGTGCACACTTAATGTCTCTTGCTGACTTTATTTGCTTTTTAAAGACAGAGTCTTGCCCTATCACCCAGGCTGGACTGCAATGGTGTGATCTTGGCTCACTACAACTTCCGCCTCCTGGATGTAAGCGATTATCCTGCCTAAGCGTCCCAAGTAGCTGGGATTACAAGCCAGGATCACACCATGCCGGCTAATTTTTTACATTTTTAGTAGAGACGAGGTTTCACTGTGGTAGCCAGGATGGCCTTGAACTCCTGACCTCATGCTCGCCTCGGCTTCCCAAAGTGCTGGGATTACAGACATGAGCCACCACGCCCACCTCCTATGTTTGCCTTCAAACTGGCTGCCAGGTTGGAATAACCAGTGACATGAGAGATTCCAGTCTTCCTGATTGGACTGAACTTTGTTGGCGCTTGGGAGCTCAGGTGGACGACAGCATCTTCTCAGAGCTGTTCTCCACTCCCTCCCGACTGCTACCCAGCCTTGAGAATACAGAATGTACTCTTCTGGGTCCTAGTCGAGTCTGGAAGAAGGCTTTGGACAGAAGAGGGACTAGGTTCCGTGGGAGGGAACAGAGTTTGGGAGAGATCATGGCTAGATGTCAACCGCAGCCACAGGTTGAGGAGAGGAGCCCCCAGCCTAGCACCTTGGGGTGCCACCTCTGGAGGTGGTAGATGATGAAGTGCCAGGACCATCAGGTGAGGGGACTGGAGGAAGAAGAGATGGGAGAGGATTGACTAAGAAGAAGGAAGGGGGCCGGGCACAGTGGCTCACACCTGTTATCCCAGCACTTTGGGAGGCTGAGGTGGGTGGATCACCTGAGGTCAGGAGTTTGAATCCAGCATGGCCAACATGGTGGAACCCTATCTCTACTAAAAACACAAACATGATCCTAGTAATACTGCTGCACACCTGTAATCCCAGCTACTCAGGAGGCTGAGACAGGAGAAGCGCTTGAGCCTGGAAGGCGGAGGTTGCAGTGAGCCGAGATCCTGTGACTGCACTCCAGTCTGGGTGAGGGAGTGAGACCCTGTGTGGAAAAAAAAAAAAAAAAAAAAAGACAGAAGAACCCAGTCATCAGAAAGGAACACTTGAGGAGGGTATTGGGGAAGAAAGAAGGGACTCAGGCACAGTGGCTCACACCTGTAATCCCAGCACTTTGGGAGGCTAAGGCGGGTGGATCACTTGAGGCCAGGAGTTTGAGACCAGCCTGGACAAAATGGTAAAATCCTGTCTCTACAAAAAATACAAAAATGAGCTGGGAATTGTAGTGGGCACCTGTAATCCCAGATACCTGGGGGGCTGAGGCAGGAGAATCACTGGAACCCACGAGATGGAGTTTGCAGCAAGCCGAGATGGCAACACTACACTCCAGCCTGGGTGACAGAGAAAGACTTAATCTCACCAAAAATAAAAATAAAAAAAAGGAGGGAGTCAGAGATCCAGGGACTAGGGAAGGAAAGGAAGCATTCTGAGGACAGAAAGATGGAAGAATGGGGAGGAGAAGGAGAGACACATGGGGTTCAGCGAGGGAGAAAGATGGAAAAATGGCTCACAGAAGCCAACAGTCTGCGGGGCTGGGGAGGATGGAGAGTGCATTGGGGTTTTGGGTCGGGGTCTAAGGTGATCAGTTGCAGAAGTATTACACGGTGACCTGCTTTCTTTACTCATCTCCTTGGGTAGATTCCAGCCCGCCTAATTTCCTTCCTTGGCAAAAGAAGAGGGACTGGTCAGGCGAATCTGAGGAGGAGCTGAAGGAGGAGATAAAGAAGGAGCGCGCCCCTGAGCCTGAGGAGACCTGGGTGCTGGACACCCTGTGTGGGCTCAAGATGAAGCTCAAACGACAGCGAGTGTCACCCGTGCTGCCTAAGCGCTATGAGGCCTTCAACACGCTGCTTGGTAGGAGGACACCCCAGAAAGCACCTCCAATCCTGTTCTTGTAAAAAAGAGGACAGTTTCCATAACCATGCTTTCTCAATGGGAAATGCACCCCAGTAGGTGAGCTCTCCATGTGGGAGGACTCAGGATCCAAAGCATCACTACAGAGGGACACTTGGGAGGCCACAGACTATTTGACTAGAGTTGATAAAGGTCAGTGATAGGATAAGAAAGCTTGCTTTCAGGCCGGGCATGGTGGCTCATGCCTGAGATCCCAGCACATTGGGAGGCTGAGGCAAGAACATCACTTGAACTCAGGACTTTGAGGTTGCAGTGAGCTATGGCTGCACCACTGCACTCCAGCCTGGGTGACAGAGCAAAACCCTGTCTCAGAAGAAAAACCAAGTCCAGGTGCAGAACTCATGCCTGTAATCCCAGCACTTTGGGAGGCCAAGGTGGGTAGATTATCTGAGGTCAGGAGTTCAAGACCAGCCTGACTACCATGGCGAAACCCCATCTCTCCTGAAAATACAAAATTAGATGGGCATGGTGGTGCATGCCTGTGATCCCAGCTACTCCGGAGGCTGAGACAAGAGAATTGCTTGAACCCAGGAGGCAGAGGTTGCAAGTGAGCTGAGATTACACCACTGTATTCTATCCTGAGTGGCAGAGTGAGAGTCTGTCTCCAAAAAATAAATAACAATAAAAGAAAGGAAAACAAAATCAAAAATATGAAGAAAGCAGTTTAGCTGTTCTGTCTGAAACTTAATGTCCCTTGATGACTTTTCTCATTCATTTATTCATTCATTCATTCGTTTGAGAAGGAGTCTGCCCTAATGCCCAGGCTGGAGTGCCATGGTGCAATCTTGGCTCACTGCAACCTCTGCCTCCCAGGTGGAAGCAATTCTTCTGCCTCAGCCTCTTGAATGGCTGGGATTACAGGACAGCACCACCATGCCTGGCTAATTTTTTGTATTTTTAGTAGAGATGAGGTTTCACTGTGTTAGCCAGGATGGTCTCCAACTCCTGACCTCATGATCTCCCTTCCTCGGCTTCCCAAAGTGCTGGGATGACAGGTGTGAGCCACTGTGTCTCACCTGTATGTTTTTCTTTAAACTGTTGGCCAGGTTGGAATGACCAATTATCTGCAATTCCAACCTTCCTGATTGGAAAGACTGAACTCCGTGGGTGCTTGGGAGCTCAGGTGGACAACAGCATCTTCTCAGAGCGGTTCTCCACGCCCGACTTCTCCCCAGCCTTGAGACCTAGAGAATGCACTCCTCTGGGTCCTAGTACAGACTGGATGAAGGCTTTGGACAGAACAGGGACCAGGTTTCATGGGAGGGAACAGAATTTGGGAGAGATCATGGCCAGCTGTCAACCTCAGCCCCAGGTTGAGAAGAGGAGCCCCCCAGCCTAGCACCTTAGGGTACTCCTCCCGGAGGTGATGGATAATGAAGTGCCAGAACCATCAGGTGAGGGGACTGGAGGAAGGAGAGATGGGAGAGGATTGGCCAAGAAGAAGAGAGGGGGCCAGGCACGGTGGCTTATGCCTGTAATCCCAGCATTTTAGGAGGTCATGGCAGTTGGATCACCTGAGGTCAAGAGTTCGAGATGAGTCTGCCCAAATGGTGAAACCCTGTCTCTACTAAAATAACAAAAATCACCCAGGCAGTATTGGTGCATGCCTGTAATCCTAGCTACTTGGAAGGCTGAGGCAGGAGAATTCTTGAGCCTGGGAAGCAGAGGTTATGGTAAACTGAGATTGCGTCTCTGCATTCCAGTCTATATGAGAGAGTGGGACTCTGTCTCAAAAAAAAAAATGAAGAAGAAGAAGAAAGGAAGAAAGAAAGAAAGACCCAGAAGTCAGGAAGGAACATCTGAGGGAGTGTGTGGGGTAAGAAAGGAGGGACTAGGGCCGGGTGCAGTGGCTCACACCTGTAACCCCAGGACTTTGGGAGGCCAAGGCAGGAGGATCACTTGAGGCCAGGAGTATGAGACCAGCCTGGCCAACATGGTAAAACCTCGTCTCTACTAAAAGTACAAAATAGAGCCAGGCATTATGGTGGGCACCTGTAATCCCAGCTACTTGGGAGGCTGAGGCAGGAGAATCACTGGAACCCAGGAGACGGAGGCTGCAGTGAGCCGAGATTGCACCACAACAATGGGCAATCCAGCCTGGGTGGCAAAGCAAGATAGTCTCAAAAAACAAACAAAAAGAAGATGGGGTCAGAGAGCCAGGGACCAGAGAAGGAAATGAGGAAGCGTTCTGAGGACAGACAGATGGAAGAATGGGGAGGAGGAGGAGAGGCACATGGGGTTCAGCAAGGGAAAGCCAAGAGTCTGCGGGGCCGGGGAGGATGGAGAGTGCTTTGGGGTTTTGGGTCGGGGTCTAAGGTGATCAATTGCAGAAGCATTACACGGTGGCCTGCTTTCTTTACTCATCTCCTTGGGAAGGTCCCAGTTCGCCTTGGATCCTTTGCCGTAAAAGGAAGAGGGAGTGGTTGGACGAATCTGAGGAGGAGACAGAGAAGGAGACAGGGAAGGAGCACACCCCCGAGCCTGAGGAGACCTGGGTGCTGGAGAGGCTTCAGGGGCTCAAGATGAAAATTAAGTGGCGGCGAGTGTCAACCGTGCTCCCTGAGCACCACCAGGCCTTCAACAGGCTGCTTGGTAGGAGGACACGCCAATCCCGTTCTTTCAAAAAAGAGGAAACTTCCCGTAACCATACTTTTCCCGTGGGAAATATATGCCCCCCAGTGGGTGAGCTCTCCATGTGGGAGGACTCAGAAGTGATCACTCATGAGGGACTTAGGAGGCCACAGACGATTCAGCTAGACTTGATCAAGGTCTGCGATTGGGGTCAGAAAGCTTGCTTTCAGGCCAGGTGCCTGGCTCATGCCTGAGATCCCAGGAGGTTGAAAGGCTGAGGCAAGAGGATCGCTTGAACTCAGGGCTTTGAGGCTGCAGTGAGCTATGACGGCACCACTGCACTCCAGCCTGGGTGACAGAGCAAAACCCTGTCAAAGAAGGAAAACCAAGGCCAGGTACAGTAGTTCATGTCTGTGATGCCAGCCTTTTGGGAGGCCGAGGCAGGTGGATCGATTGAGGTCAGGAGTTTGAGGAGGTCAGGAGTTCAGTCTGACCAACATAGCGAAACCCCGTCTCTACTAAAAATACAAAACTCAGCCTGGTGTGGTGGCACATGCCTGTAATCCCACCTATCCAGGAGGCTGAGACAGGAGAATTGCTTGAACCCCAGAGGGGGAGGTTGCAGTGAGCCAGTATCACACCACTGAACTCCATCCTTAGCAAAAGAGTGAGATGCCATATGAAATAAGGAAATTTAAAAAATAAAGAAAAACAAGATCAAAAAACAAAGAAAGCAGTTTCAGTTGTGCCCTCAGAAACGTAATGTCTGTTGCTGACTTTTCTGAACCTAAGTATCTCCATCCCTAGAGGGGGATGCCAAGGCCATGTTCACACCCTGCGGTGACCGTCTCAGGAGGAAACGATGGGAATGACTTTCTGACTCTGCAGGGGTCCCTGCGTGTCTGCGGGGAGGGCATCCTGCCTTCTTCCCAGCTCTCCAGCCGGTAGATTCTCACACCCAGGGCCTCCTTTGGCCTCTTCTCAGGGCAGTCTCAGAGCGGGAGCCTCTCTCCCTTGCCCAGTGAAAGTCATTCTCTCTTCTCCCATCCACCTCACCTGCGGCCACCATCCTGAGACTTTCCCCAGGGAGGCGCAGTTCTCCTGGCTACCCTGTTTCTCCCATGGAAACTCCTTTCTGCTTCTCACACTAACATCTGCTCTCTAATCACAGAGGATCCTGTCGTGAAAAAATTCCTGGCCTGGGACACATATCTGCTGGCATCCGACAAGGTAAGGTCATTCTCCACGAAACTGTGTTCCTGTTCCAACACACAGCCTGGGGGAGGGCACAGCTTCCACACCCACAGTTCCACTCCCCTCTCCTCCACCAGCTCCCACCTGATGCTCCACAGTCTTATTTTGTTCTGAGACAGAGTTTTGCTCTGTTGCCCAGGCTGGAGGGCAGTGTCCCGATCTTGGCTCAATGCAGCCTCCCACTCCAGGGTTCAAGCGATTCTCCTGCCAGCCTCCCTAGTAGCTGGGATTGCAGGCGTGCACCACCATGCCTGGCTCATATTAGTGTTTTTTGTAGAGACAGGGTTTTGCCATGTTGGCCACGCTGGTCTTGAACACCTGACCGCAGGTGATCCACCTGCCTTGGCCTCCCAAAGTGCTGTTAATACAGTCATGAGCCACTGTGCCCAGCCACCTCCCACAGTCTTGAGTCTTGGCACCAACCCAGGTTTTTTGTGTGTGCTTTTTGTTTTTTGCTTTTTTTGAGACAGAGACTAGCTCTGCTCTCTAGGATAAAGTACAGTGGCCTCTAATTCCTGGGTTCAAGCAATTCTCCTGCCTCAGCCTCCCGAGTAGCTACAACTACAGGCACATGCCACCACCATCCTTGACTAATTTTTGTAATTTTTTGACAAAGAGGGTCTTGCTATGTTGCCCAGGTTGTTCTCAAATTTGGGCTCACGTGATCCTCCTGTCTCAGCCACTCACAGTACTGGAGTCACAGGCTTGAGCCGCCACTCCCAGCTATTCTTGGTCTTTTTATGATTTGTCAGCATCTCCCTCAGGACTCTGCTGGTTTCTTGCAGAGTAAGTGGCCCCTGCAGGAGTCCTTAGGGATCTGAGCCCTGGGCCGCAGTCTGGCCGACCCCCTGAAGCTCCCGGCCCCTCCACTCTCAGCTCTTTGGGACATTTCTCTGCCTCACACACACAAGACCCTCCTGACGCCAGCCAACCTAGACACACTCCCTGCAAAGGTCCCATGGGAGCTCACCATCCTGGGAGCATCACCGACATCCTTTCCTCCAGCTTCTCGGATTTGCATCCGACCTTCTAATACCCCTCCACCTCACTATTTCCCAATGAGCACAGTCACCCCAACGCTGAGGTCCCTTCTCTGATGGGCAAACCCTCCCCTGCCCCCATTTCCCCATTGCACAATCTGCCTTTTCCAAGATGTGACCTCTCCCTCTCTGTGTTCCTTTCTCTCCATCAGTACCTGCTGGCCATGGTCATAGCATATTTTAGCCGCACCAGCCTCCTCTCCTGGCAGTACGAACGCATTCATTTCTTCCTGGCTCTGTGAGTGCTTTGCTCCCTCCTATCTGTGAATATCCAACACCCTGGGAGAGCAGGGCAAGTCGGATTCCAACCTCTCGTTTATTCTTTTTTTTTTTTTTTTGAGATGGAGTTTCGCTCTTGTTACCCAGGCTGGAGTGCAATGGTGCGATCTCGGATCACCGCAACCTCCACCTCCTGGGTTCAGGCAATTCTCCTGCCTCAGCCTCCCAAGTAGCTGGGATTACAGGCCTGCGCCCCCATGCCCAGCTAATTTTTTGTATTTTTAGTAGAGATGGGGTTTCACCATGTTGACCAGGATGGTCTCGATCTCTTGACCTCGTGATCCACCCGCCTTGGCCTCCCAAAGTGCTGGGATTACAGGCGTGAGCCACCGCGCCCGGCCCTGTTCTTTCACCTATTTGTCCTCTTTACTCTGTGTAAAAACAAGATAGGCTTATACAATGGCCTTCTTAGACTGTTCCTTCTGAAAACAAACTCAGCCCAGGTGCGGTAGCTCATGCCTGTAATCCAAGCACTTTGGGAAGCCAAGGTAGGCAGATCACCTGAAGTTAGGAGTTCAAGACCAGCCCGGACAATATGGTCAAACCTCGCCTATACTAAAAATACAAAAATTTGCCAAGTGTGGTGGCATGTGCCTGTAATCCCAGCTACTCAGGAGGCTGAGGCAGGAGAATCGCTTGAACCTGGGAGGCAAAGGTTGCAATGAGCCAAGATTACGCCATTGCACTCCAGCCTGGGTGACACAGCAAGACTATGTCTCAAAAAACAAAAAAAATTATCTGGGGCTGCTGATGTAAACCTGTAATCCCAGCTACTTAGGAGGTTGAGGCAGGAGAACTGCTTGAACCAAGGAGGCAGAGGTTGCAGTACGCTACGATTAATTAAGCCACTGAACTCCAGCCTCAGTGAAAAAGCAAGATGTTTTCTCAAAGCAAAACCAAACTCAAATGCCAGTTTAAAAGTAAAAGAATAAAACCAAAGGAACCATCCACCCCTCCTAAGGGGAGAGAAAAAGGAGCAGACACGACGCCTCCCCCAGCACAGCCACTTCTGGTTCTTCTGTCTCTCTCCTTCCCACATCAACCCCACATGCAATGGTTCATCGTCCTCCTCAGGGTTCCCATGACAGAGGCCACAGTTCAGGTCCCCTCACTTCACTCCAATCCACTGACAAATGCTCCCTGCTGGGGTCTCCTGGAGCCTGTCCCCAAGCCAGGGGGCTTCCTGGTGCAGCTGGAACATCTCTCCAAAGCACAGGTCCGACCCCCACTGCCCACCTGAACAGCTTCCCTAGCTGATGTCTTTTGAAACCGAGGCCAGGGCCACAGTGCCAATTCCACCCTCTCTACAATCTCTCTGCAGCCAAACAGGCTCCCCATCCTGGTGTTTCCTGGCTTGGTCTCACCGCTCCTTCCAAACGCCAGCCACTCGACTTTGCATGTGTGTTTTCTGTCTGGGGTCCTGCACACGTGTGGTTCTGAAGGGAAGCACCCATTCCTTGACATCAGTTCACCCCACAGCCTCTGTGATGCCTTCCCTTATCTTCCCACCTCTGTATGCCCATAGCACACCAGTGACATCCTATTATAATGTGACATTGGGATGAGGTTTTTTGCCCTGATTTCTCCCAGTGCCATTAGACTAGATGCCTACAGAAGGCAGGATCTTGGAAAAATATCAATGTATTTTATTTATTTTATTTTTTCGTGACAGAAACTCGCTCTGTCCACCAAGCTGGAGTGCAGTGGTGAGATCAGAGCTCACTACAGCCTCCATCTCTTGGGCTCAAGTGATCCTCCCACCTCAGACTCCTGATTAGCTCAGACTATAGGGCTGTGCCATCACACTTGGACAATTACTTAGGTATTTATTAAATTATATATATATATTTGAGATGGAGCCTCGCTCTATCAACCAGGCTGGAGTACAATGTCACCAACTTGGCTCACTGCAACCTCTGCCCCCGGGTTCAAGCAATTCTCCTGCCTCAGCTTTCTGAGTAGCTGGGACTACAGGCCCATACCACGAGGCCCAGCTAATGTTCCGTATTTGTAGTACAGACGACGGTGTTTCGCTGTGTTAACCAGGATGGTCTCAATCGCCTGACCTGGTGATCCACCCGCCTCAGCCTCCCAAATTGCTGGAATTATAGGCATGAGCCACCACTCCCATCCTATTTATTTATTGAGAGAGAGTCTCGCTCTGTCTCCCAGGCTACAATGCAGCAGACCTATCTCAGCTCACTACAACCTCGGCCTCCTGGGTTCATGTGATTCTTGTGCCTCAGCTTCTGGAGTAGCTAGGACTAAGGTGTGTGCCACCACACCAGGGGATTTTTGTATTTTTAGTAGAGATGGGGTTTCGCCATGTTCAACAGGTTGGTCTCAAACTCCTGGCCTCATGTCACCCACCCATTTCAGCCTCCCAAAGTGCTGAAATTCCAAGCCTAAGCCACCACTCTTGGCCACCAGTTGGCTTTTTGTCTCCATCCCGAAGGTGTGAGGGGTGCCCTTCAGCAGGCATCTGTCCAGCAGGGCCCTCCTGAGGAAGGCATGGCTCTCTGCAGGGTGGGTGCCAGTCCTGAGCTAAGGTACCCCACCCTCCTCTCTGGGAAGCTGACCTCAGCCAGAGGTCTCTCCTGGTGGTGCCCCTGAGCAGCAGTCTGATTTCTGCCCCCAGCTACCTGGCCAATGACATGGAGGAGGACAACCAGGGCCCCAAACAAGCCATCTTCTACTTCCTGTATGGGAAGGACCGCTCCCAGCGACGCTTATTCCAGAAGCTTCGGTTCCAGTTCTTCTGTTCCATGTGCTGCAGGGCTTGGGTTTCCCCAGAGGAGCTGGAGGAGGTGGGTGGGTGTGGGGAGGTGGAGAGGAATCTGGTGGTTGGAGGCTGGATGAGGGGATGGAGGGATCCCCATTTTCTCAAGGGGCGTTTGTTTTTGCAGATCCAGGCTTATGACCCAGAGCACTGGGTGTGGGCACGAGATCGTGCCCACTTTTTATAGAACTACAGCACCGTGGAGGCCTGAGGTCATCGGCCTGAGAGAAGGTATGTCTGCATCCCCCGGAGTCAAGGCAGAATACTGTGTCTATTTAGGAAATCTGAGGAACCCAGTTGCTTGATCCAGCTTCAAGCCTGGGCAACTTGGCAAGATCCACTCTCCACAAAAATTCACAAATTAGCTGGGTGATGTGGGAGGCATCTCTTCCCAACTACTCAGGAGGTTGAGGAGGGAGGATTGCTGGAGGCTGGGACACTGGGGCTGCAGGGAGACCTGATCCTGCCACTGTACTCCAGCCTGGTCGACACAGTGAGACCCTGTCTCAAAATTCATCAGAAATACTGAGTTCCGGGAGGTTCATTAGGACTGACACACTTGAATGACCTATTTGGGTTGAGGATTCAGTGAAGATTCGGTTTACATCTTGTGCAGCTAACCACATTGAGGATTCAGCATAAGACTTCAACATTAGGAAGCAGGATTATGGATTAGGCTCCGGGACTCGTGGTTCGTGATGTTGTCACATTAGAACCGTATCTAGCCTGGTTACCAGTTTAGATCTTAAGTGACATGAAAGGCCCACATGTGATGAAGTCTAAAGCCACATTGTCTGAGGGTGCTCTACTCCCTGAGCAGACCCACACAAAGTCCCGGCAAGGAAATAGATAACTGGGGATGGCCATGGGTGTATTAAGTGAGTTTTGGAGTCGGGGTGACCAAAGTGTGCGTATCACAATTGAACAGCAGGCTAGAGAATTAAGGGCAGGAGATGAAACTGGATTGATCAATCGCTCTGAACTCTAGTTAGAATTGACATGAGACATGAATGACCTTCCTAGAGAACTGCTACCTTGAATCCTGACCTCCTCTCTCACTTCCAGAACACCGGGCCCGGGGAGATGCGGATTTTCAGCACGAAGTTTATTCCAATGCTAATGACATACACCAGGAAGGAGGAGAGGAGCCATTTGTGCAGATCATCTAGAAGAACCTGGACTGTTCTAGAAAGACCTCAATAGCGTGACCACGCTGTCCTCCTAGGGGTGGAGGGGCGGGGAGACGGTACTTCTAGGAGTCCGTGGAGGACAGTGAGAAACCAGGGGTGTTTCTGGTTCCACCCCTTCCTGCGGCACCACCTCCCTTTTTATATTGCTGAATTCCAGCCTCTCCAGGAGCATCTGAGGGCACAGTACAGGCGCTCAGATTGGCACAGAATTATTTGTAAAGTATGAGTGCCATCGGATTGTAACAGGTAGCTTCATGCATACTATGCATTTTTGTGGTTTTGGAAGTGTTGGCCATTGAATTATTCCTACGTTTATTTCAAATAGTTTGGAAATTGTTTTACTTTTGAAAGCTTGCTGTTCCTGTAGAGTTTTTGATGAGAATTATAGCTGTTACATATACAGAAATATAGTTTTCTTTTTTTAAGAAAGAATTGTTTATCCTAAATCTTTTATTAAATTGTTTTATCTATTATGATATGTGCTCCTGAAGTGAGCACTCTTTGTCTATGATACTTACATGATAGTCTATTATATTTATAGCTATGTGGTAGTTCCCGTAAATCTTCTAATAGAAATTTTTATTTCCTGTTTAGTGTTTGTTACTGAATTGTGAGAGAATTCAGTGCTGATTTTTAACATGTGTTAGATACATTGTAATATGTTTAATATATACTATACATTTTATTGGTTTATTTTGAAAAAGATGGGCATAGAATTATTACTACATTTATTTAAAGAGTTTGGAAATACTGTTTTTGAATAGATGCTGTTTCTATAAAGTTGTGTGATGGGTATTATAGCCATTATGTATATATAAATACAATTTTATATACAATTTTGTTTTCCTTTTTAAGAGAGGATTCTTTCTATCCTAAAGCTTTTATCTGTCAACCTTTTTATTTGTTATTACACCTGCTCCTGACGCGAGCCCTCTTTTTATCTGTGATACTTACTTAATATATCTATTACCTGTATAGCTAAGTGGTGGTTCCCCTAAATTCTTGTAAAAATAAATTTGGATTTTATGTTTAGTGTATGATTTGAAATGTGAGAATTCAGATGTAATTTTTTACCTTCTATTGACCTGTTTGTAAATTACCTTGAAGAGGATGTGTGTTTTGAAGGAGGCCATGAGCTGTGTGTTTTCAAGGGAACCTGTGCATCTCCTGGGAAACCTAATAAACATGAAGTTTTCTCGTCTTCACAGTGAGTGCAATCAGATTGCTCCAGATGGCTTATTTGCCGTCAAGTGACATTTTTCCTTAATGAGGTTTTGGTTATTTGAACATATTTATTGGCTCTGGAAGATAATTCTGTATTTTTATATATATATAGAAACAACATAAGTCTGGAAACAGTGTTCACACCTATAATCCAGCACTTTTGGAGGTTACAGAGGGAGGATCACTTGAGGCCAGGGGTTTAAGACCAGCCTGGGCAACATAGCAGCTACATCTCTTTTTTTCTTAATATTTTTTTAAAAATTAGAAGAAAAGGCTAATCCCAAGTTAGGGTTTTGTTTTGGTTTGGTTTGTAGAGACAGAGTCTTGCTCTCTTGCCCAGGGTAGAGTACAGTGGTACGATCTCAGCTTACTGCAACCTCTGCCTCCTGGGTTCAAGCGATTATCCTGCCTCAGCGTCCCGAGTAGCTGGGACTACTAGCACCCATCTGTATACCCGACTAATTTTTGTAAATATTACAGACAGGGTTTCACCATGTTGGCCACGCTGGTCTCGAACTTCAGACCTTAAGTGATCCGTCTGCCTTGACCTCCCAAAGTGCTGGGATTAGAGGCATGAGCCACGGCGCCTGGCTGACTTCCAGAGTTTTAATAATAGACATGTGGTTGAAGAAGAAAAGGAAGCCATGTGAAAAGAGGCCAGTGAAGGGCAGGACGTGAAGTTCTCTACCTACAGGAAACCAGCCCAGAGCCTCCCACAGGGACTTCAGTACAAAGGGCCGGGAAAATCTGCATGAACCCGAGACCTGAATCTAAGACAGGACAAGGCCTTTACTGTTTCTGCAGACTCACAAGATGCAATCTCTGTGGTCCATGCCCATGGGATGATCTGGAATAAAGGGGACCTCATGACTATAATCCCAGCACTTTGGGAGTCTGAGCAGGACCGATTACCTGAGGTTGGGAGTTTGAGACCAGCCTGACCAACGTGGAGAAACCCCATCTCTATAAAAATACAAAATAAGCCAGGCATGATGGCACATGCCTGTCAACCCAGCTACTTGGGAGGCTTAGGCAGGAGAATCCCTAGAATCCGGGAGGCAGAGGTTGCCATAAACCACAATCATGCCATTGGACTCCAGCCTGGGCAACAAGAGCAAAATTCTGTCTTAAAAAAAAAAGGGGGGGGGGCCTTCTAAATGCAAATAACATGGAATCAAAGGTGCAACAGAAATACTGTTGATTTGGGCCGCAGAAAGGCCTAAACAGGTAACTGCAGTCCATTGCCAAGGTCATCAGCGGGGTGACTGAAATAGTAAATTTCAGAAGCCATAGCCAAGACAGCTGCAGGGGTGGGGAAGTCCTCCAAATGTCTCTGCTTCCTTCAGTAGCTCTTTATAAAATAAGGCGAGGTACTCCATTGAGGAATTTCTTTTTTCTTTCTTTTTTTTCTCTTTTGAGACAAAATTTCACTCTTGTTCCCCGGGCTGGAGTGGGATGGGGTATCGCAGCTCTACAATGGCTGCCTCCCAGGTTCAAGTGATTCTCCTGCCTGGAACTCTCAAGTAGCTGGGATTGCAGGCACCTGCCACTACACCCGGATAACTTTTTGGATTTTTAGTAAAGATGGGTGTCACCATGTTGGCCAGGCTGGCCTTGAACTCATGACCTCAAGTGATCCACCCACCGCAGTCTCCCAAAGTGCTGGGATTATAGGTGTCAGTCACTGCACCTGTCCCTGCCTGGGGGATTTTAAAAGCCACTGGAGATAGATATCACCTGAGTTCCATAAGGTGGCCCCTAAATAGAAGAGGCAGGATATGAGTGCCTGCAAATGTGAACCGGGTTATTGTAAAAGACGTCCATGACTTCTTACACTACGGGAAGGTGGCGGGACACAGCTTGCTGTCGGCATTATAAGCACCCCATGATGAAAGGAAACAATATAATAGATAAAGCGGCTGACAACTGTGTCTATCATCAGAATATCAATGCTCCAACCAGACCTCCCATACCTCTTTATTTTTGAGACAGGGTCTCTCTCTCTCTCTCCCCCAGGCTGGAATGCAACTTCCACCTCCCATACTCAAGTGATTCTTCCACCTGAGCCTCCTGAATAGCTGGGATTACAGGCACACACCACCACACCCAGATAATTTTATACTTTAAGAAAGACAGGGTTTTACCATGTTGGTCAGGCTGGTATCAAACTCCTGACCTCAAATGATCCACCGACCCTGGCATCTCAAAGTGCTAGGATTACAGGCACGAGTTACTGTGTCCAGCCTCTCCCATATCTCTTTTGGCCAAGGCAGTACAATTCAGAAGAACTGTGCCAGGGAATACTGGCAAATGGACTTCAATGTGATGCCTGTGGCTCCTGGAGGATTTCCATACCTCCTGGTGCTTACTGATACCTTTACCAGTTACCTTTTCAGTCCAGGCCAGACTGAAAAAGCAGGAGATCGCTAATCAACCTTAAACTATTTACTAGCAGAACACTGAGGGGTATGTGCGGTCACCAATACCTCCCATTGCACTTGGAGAAACACCTCCTAGGAAATAGAGGTTCATATAAAGGAAATAATCAAACAATCAGAATGGCTGCATTCCTTCAACCAGAAGCGTCCATTCATCTGTTTTCATGCTGCAATAAAGAACTACCTGAAACTGGGTAATTTATGAAGAAAAGAGATTTGACTGACTCACAGTTCTGGGGACTGTACAGGAAGCGTGGCCCGGGAGGCCTCAGGAAACGGACAATCATGGCAGAAGGCAAAGGGGAAGCAAGCACGTCTTGCCATGGTAGAGCAGGAGAGAGAGTGAAGGGGGAGGGGCCACACACTTTTAAACGACCAGATCCCATGAGCGCTCACTCACTATCACAAGAACAGCAAGGGGGAAGTCGGCCCCCACAAGCCAATCACCTCCCACCAGGTTTCTCCCTCAATATCGGAAATTAGAATTTCACATGAAATTTGGGTGGAGACACAGAGACAAACCACATACCAAGGGTAGTTCATCCACTGAGATTGATTTATTTATTTAGAGATGATGTCTCGCTCTGTCACCCAGGCTGGAGTGCAGTGGTGCAATCTCAGCTCCCTGCAACCTCTGCCTCCTGGGTTCAAGCAATTGTCCTGCCTCAGCCTCCTGAGTAGTTGGGACTACAGCACAGGCCACCACTACCACCACGTCTGGCTAATTTCTGTACTTTTAGTAGAAATGGGGCTTCATCATGTGGTCTCAAACTCCTGAGCTCAGGTGACCTGCCTGCCTCGGCCTCCCAAAGTGCTGGATTCCAGGCATGAGCCACCACACCCAGCCAACCACTGAGATTTAGAAGGCAGTCGAGTCCCCTCTACCACACCTCACCTGGTTTCTTCCTCTGCTGGGGGCCCTAGTGGCCATTGTTCCCTGTTACTTTTCCTTTGTTTTCCTTTTTTTTTTTGAGACGGAGTTTTGCTCTTGTTGCCCAGTCTGGAGTGCAATGGCACAATCTCAGCCCACTGAGATCTCCACCTTCCGGACTCACTCCATTCCTCCTGCCTCAGTCTCCTGAGTAACTGGGATTACGACATGCGCCACCACGCCTGGCTAATTTTATATTTTTAGTAGAGACAGAGTTTCTCCATGTTGGTCAGACTGGTCTCAAACTCCCAACTTCAGGTGATCCGCCAGCCTCGGCCTCCCAAAGTGCTAGGATTATAGGCTGAGCCACCGCGCCCGGCCTCTCCTGTTACTTTTCAGTCCTATATATTAAACTGATGGTAAGCTGTTTTTCCTCCAGGCGCCAACACTTCCATCTTCAGTCTGTATTGCAACAACAATACCAGCCCTTCCAGCAACTCCGGGGGACCCCAAAATTCATTTGAACTCAGCAGCCTAAGAATTTGATTACTCTAACTTTAGGGGACTCAGTGCCCCCCGTCAGCATGAAGTAGATACAGAAACATGACCTTCATCCCTCTTCCCTCATGAATGAGGAGTGGAATGTGTCGGCAGGGCATTCGGGGCGTGGCTTGAAAATCGGTAACTGCATCAGACCAAATCTACTTCAACTTTTTATTTATTTATTTATTTTTTGAGACAGAGTCTCGCCCTGTCGCCAGGCGCCAGGCTGGCGTGCAGTGGCGCGATCTCGGCCCACTGCAACCTCCGCCTTCCAGGTTCAGGCAATTCTCCTGTCTCAGTCTCCGGAGTAGCTGGAATTACAGGCATGCGCCACCACGCGCGGCTAATTTTTGTATTTTTAGTAGAGACAGGGTTTCACTATGGTGGCAAAACATCGTCTCTCCTTACCTCAGGTTCTTGAGGTAAGGAGAACCTCCAGTGAACCCCCCGCCTCAGCCTCCCACAGTGCC